CAGAGCTGGTGCTCGCCATTGTGCCACCTAGCTGCCCCAGTGGGAACATTTGTAGCTGAGATTCATGCCTTAAGAGGCTAGACTAGGTGAGTTCTTGTTACCTTTATTTCTTAGAGAGAGACAGCAATAGAGCTGAAAGGAGCTGGCATTTGTGTATTTTACTCACAAAGGGTAGGGATGGTGGTGTCCTAATCTGTTCTTCCTCAGGTATTACAATTCTAGCTTTGCCAGCTGGGATTTCTTTTCCCTTCTAGAACTGCATTTAGTTGTTATTCTGAATTTAACAAATAACAAATAGAATGACCAGTTTGCCTTTTTTTATCCTTGTTTTACTCCTAAACTTCAAGCAGTTGGAGGAATGAATAGCTCAAGCAGCAGTGATAAATAGCAGTGAGAGTGATGGAAATGCTGACTAATTCAGCACAGTGACCTTTCATCTCTATTTAATAGGGAAACAGGCACCTCAGCTACCTGGGTTTACTCTGGAGTGGTGGTACACGGGTGTGCTGTAGTGGGAAGATGTGAGACAAGCACTGGTTTCTGAAACATCAATGAAAGTTGAAAGGCCAAATGAGAACATATATAAAATGCTATATAAATAAAAGCATTATTGTTATTGTTATTAAAGTTATCCATTCCCTATCAGGTAGGACTCTTTCTCCTGTTTTCCTATCTTCCTATTTTCCTTGGGGAAGATGATTTCCCTCTAAGTTTCTCCTAATCTCTAATCTGCCTGCCTTCCAACAATTAAACTTTGAGAATGCCTCTAATAATAATTGATATTTATATAGTGGTTTATAATTTACAAAGCACTTTACTTATTTTGTCTCCTGTGACTTTCTTTGTTACTCGTGGGGCAGATACCTGTGAAGTGGGTATCCCCATTTTACAGATGAGGAACCTGAAGCCCAGAGAATGACTTGCCAAAAGGGAGCTTGGCAAAATTGCTCCGTTATGGTCCCTCTTCTCTTGGAATACTCTCACTTCTGCTGATGTCTTCAGCTCCCAGGGGTTCAATTATCACCTGAATGTTGATGACTCCTAACTCTACTGGACATTTTAAACTAGAAGGCCTATAGTCATCTCAAAATCAACATATCCAAAGCAAAACTCCAAACCCATTTGTCTTCCATATTTCTATCAAGTGCACCACTGTCCTTCCAGTCACCTTTGGTGTCCTCCACATCTCAATCTCACTCTCCCCACTTATCCCATCAGTTGCTAAACTTTGTTGTTTATACCTCCATAACATCTCTCTGGTAGACTCCCTTTTCTTCACTCATACAACCCCTACCCCAGCTCAGGACTTCATCACTTTACCTGGACTATATAGCAATGCTATTGGTCTCTATTTCTCAAGCCTCTCCCCGCTAATGCATCCTCCACAGAGCCACCAGAGTGCTTTTCCTAAAATATAGATATGATTATGTCAGTCAATAAACACTTATTAAGGCCTGCTATGTGCCAGGTACTGTGCTAAGCATAGAAAGACAAGCCCTTGCCCTCAAGGAGCTTAAAATCTATTGAGGGGAAGATAACACACAAAAGGAAGAGTAAAAGGGGTGGGGGGGAGATAGATAATATAGGAGAAGTCCAACGGAATACAGCTAGATGGGAAGTGAAGAGATGGCTGGCCTGGACACGCTTTTTAAATGGAGGTTTTAGAAGGAGCACGCCATTCCTCCCTCCAATCAGGGGAGCCTCCAAGGACAGAAGGTATTGATGAGGTGTGAGTATTTAATAAATTCTGATGGCTCCTTACCACCTCTATTAAATAGAAACTCATCTGTTTGTCATCTAAAGCTTTTCACCACCTGGCATCATGCTACTTTCCAGTCTCATTACACATTACTTTCCACCATACACTCTACAGTCCTACCAAATGGCCCTTTTTACTGTTCATCATACACAAGCATGGAATGCCTTCCCTCCTCCCTTCAGCCTTTTAGAATACCTGCCGGTCTCCCCTGCTCATTGTTCCTTATGTAAATTTCTTGAGAACAGGAACTACTTAGGTTTTTATCTGCCACTTAATAATATTCCCTGCCTCAAGGTGTGAACCATCTACTTGGAAATGAAGGTATACACCAGGGTTCACAGATAAAGTAAATACAGTGTATAAATAAAATAAATACAAGTTAGTTTAGGGGAAGCACCAACTGGAGGAATCAGGAAAGCCTTTTTTAAGGAGGTGACAATTCAACTTAGCCCTAAAATCATCTTGCAATTCCAGGAAGTAGAGGGGAGGAGGGGGCATAGGGAACAAAGTCAAGGAGGCAGAAGGTGGTCTGTTGGATACTTAACAAGTAGACGTTTTGACTGGAGCAGAAAGGGAAAAATATGTAACCAGTCTGGAAAGATGGGCTGCGGCCAGATTGTGAAAGGTTTTTAATGCCAAATTGAGGATTTAGGGTTTTATCCTAGAGGCACTAGTCACAGAAGCTTTTTGAGCAGAGAAGTGATGTCAGAACTATGCTTTAAGGAAATCATTTTGGCAACAAGTGGAAAATGGTCTGGTGAGGAGAGAGATAGGAGGCTGCTGTAATGATCCAGGCAAAAAGTGATAAGGGCCTTTATTACCTAGTGGTTCTGTGAGAGAAGATGGAGAGGTGAGGTATTGAGAAGGTAGAATTGTTGAGGTTTAGGAGTTTAGGGATGCTGGGACCCCAATATCACAAAACATAGATCCTGCCCAAAAAAATTCAACCCAAGTCTTCTTTCAGCCAAAGACAAGGTTTATTAGAACATCTGTTACATTGGGCAGACTTAAGGAGTCTGAATGTTAGTGAGCTATTGGCTAGATTGTAAGAATCTAAGCACCTTAATGCAGACAAGATGGACCTTATATACAGAAAGACTGTGGGAGGGATCTAGGACTGGCCAAATAGTTTGAGGTGACTGGAGGAGGGGTCTAAGGAGGATCTGGATGGGAGTGGCCAGTAAGCTGGGGTGAACAGAACTCCTGGGACCTGGACCACAAGGCCAAGGGAGAATGGAGCCTAGCTAGGATTAAGGGTGGGAAATGGCTGGGGGTCATAGGGAAGTAAAACAATGGAGGGTTAGGCTAGGGTAAAGGTAACAGAGAATTGGGAGATTGGGCATGCCACAATGAAAGGCCAGTTGATGGGATAGCCTTAGGGAACCGCCAGAGATTTGGTCATGTGGGAAAGTCCAGGGTTTTTCCTTTTTGGGGTCCAGATCCCAACCCCATAAATTAACAAGAGTAGGCAGTCAACTGATTACTGGTCGTGAAGGTAGAGGAAAGAGTCCAGTATGAGCCTAAATTATGAACCTGAGTAACCAGAAGCACGGCGATGCCCTGGACATCAAGAAAAAGGGAAGATAATGAGTTTGCCTGTCATCATCAGGGGTCACACAGGGAATCTTTAGACTGAAGACCTGGAATTGGTTCTGTTATTTCTTAATTATCTTAAGACAAGAACTTACTAAGGATGTGAAGGGGGAGAAGGGAAAATTATCTTACATAATCAGGGTGAGCAAGTAGAAATCTATACATACAAGAAGGAGAGGGGTGTGGAAATGATGACTGACATTTGAACCTTACTCTCATCTGAACTGGTCAAAGAAAAGATTACACACATTGGGGCAGCTAGGTAGCACAGTGGATAGAGCACCGGCCCTATTAAGTTAGGAAGACCTGAGTTCAAATCCCAAACACTTGACGCTAACTAGCTGTGTGACCCTGGGCAAGTCACTTAATCCCAATTGCCTAATTTAAAAAAAAAATACACACATAGTTGGGTACAAAAATACAACTCACTCATTAGGGAAATGGGAGAAGGGAGAATTAGTGGGAGAGTAGTGAAAGGGAAGGATTAGACTTAAGTAAAAATAAATTCTAAGAATGTGCAAAAATATTTGTTATTTCTTTTTGAGGTGGCAAAGAATGGAAATCTGGGGAAGGACCGAACAAGTTATGTTATATAAATGTGATGGAATATTATTGTGCTGTAAGAAATGACAGAAATGGTTTCAAAGAAACCTGGGAAGATTTATACTAACTGATGCAGAATTTACAGAACCAGGATAACAGTTCATACAATGACAGCAATATGATAAAAACAATTTTTCCTAAATTCCTAAAGAATTAGGAATTGTTATCAGTGTAATAATCAACCACATTTCAAGAGAACTAAAGATGAAATATGTTACCCATCTCCTGATACAGAAGTGAAAGGGCTGGGAGTCCAGAATGAGACTTTTATTTATTTTTTTGATATGTCCAGTGTAGAAAATTGTTTTGACTATACCTACGTGTAACAGGTGTTTCGATTTTCTTTCATGCCTAATCGAGAAGAGAAAAAGGTCGGCGGGGAGGGGTTGGGACTGGGGTTCGAGGAAGAGAAGGCAGAAGGCAAATTTTTGCTGATTTTAAATATATGTGTATTTTTTTTAAAAGAAAGATAATGAGTTCATTTTGGAAATTTTCTTTGTGGCTGATAAGTACTAGGGGCAGAGACTGAAAGATGAAATAGGAAACTTCTCCCTCTTCCTATCCTCCCGTCCGCTTACTGGACCTCACCTCCACACGTGAGATTGGACCATCCACAGTAAAATGGCGGGTGCCTTCAAGGAACTACAACTCCCATGAAAATATTGGAGTGAAGGCGGAAATGACCTTGATTCCCCAAAGGCCCTGTTGGAAAAGGGCAGCTGCTCCAGCACCGGAATAATCGGGATAAGGACAGTGAAGAGAAAAACGTCGGCGGGGTGGAGAGCCTGGTGGGTGTTTCTGTGGCCACTCCTCAGGGTGTTCTCCAAGGATTTTCTGTAGGTACGTCGGTTAATCGAGGGCCCACGAAGCTTAAGGAAAAAAAGACGGCCGCCATTGTTCCTTTCCCGGGAAACTCCGCCCCACTGGAGGGGCGGACACGTGAGGGATTTAGGACGGAAGTGACGACACGATAGCATTATTAAATAAGACGCGCCAGAGCTGTTGTGCCTCTTCTTCTTAGCGCCATCTTGTCGAGTGAGTGCGGTCTCTTTTTTCTCCTTCGTAGCTGGGGTTCACAATCCGTTGCCATCCGGACTCAGCGTTTGCCACCCGCCCTCCAGACTAACCTTGTTGTTTTCCTCTCTCTCTACAGCTTCCATTGCGCCATGAGAGCCAAAGTAAGTGGGACTGCCTGTGCCTCTGGCGGGGGCAGAGCAGTCGCCGGGGAGCGAGGCCTGCCTGGCCTAAGGGGAAAGGGGGGGAGGAGCGGCCTGTGTCCTGGCGTTTTGCCGTCTGGGGTCCGAGAGCCCCGGGAGCTGCGGGAGGAACAGAGGAGGAAAGCCTTGGTTTTCGAGGTAGAAAGGTAGAAAAAAGGGAGCAAGAGGTGCCTGGGGCTGGTACTGCTGTGGACGTGGAGGAATGGGGGAGACTGTGGTCTTGTTAGACCTGGAGAGTCTCAAGATTGGGTGCTTACAGAGTTGCGTTTATGTTCTCAAGTCAAAACGCCGGGGTGGGATGAACAGTACAGCATGTCTATCATAACTAGATGAATGCACAATGCACTGAGCTTTCTGGGGTAGACCCGGTATTGCTTTAGAAGGAGAAAGGATCACGCGCCCGATTTTATTTTGCAAAGTGTAGGTGTTAAACATAGGAGAAGCAGTATGGACTCAGTTGCTTGTTTGGGGGACTTACATTGTTATTGGTACTAACTGACTCTTATTTTACTCACGATCGTTTTGGACTACAGTGGAGGAAGAAGCGAATGCGTAGGTAGGTAGAGTTCTTAAGAATTCTGGAGGGTTGAGGGGTGGATGTGGTTGACAAGTTTGCAAAAAGAAAAACTGTTAAGTCGTTAGAATGGGGGAAAAAAAAGGTCACGACTTTTTAATCCTGAAAAAGAAGGAAGTTGGAAGCAATGGGTTGATTTCTTGATTGCGTTTTTTGTCCTGGTGTGACGGCTGTCACTGGGAACAAAAATAATAAACTTAATCTATGTATAGATTGCCTTTTATTGGAATTGAGTTGCATGCTGACTCCCTTAGGTAGGGAAGTTGGAAGGCTTACCTGGTTCCCCTTTACAGGCTGAAACGCAAGAGGAGAAAGATGAGGCAGAGGTCCAAGTAACCAGACTGTGCTGACCACGGAAGCCACAGGAGCAGAGATGGAATGACCCCTGGTGACATTCTCAGGAAGGCAGAAACCTTTGGGAGACATCACCCCACCCTACGAAGGACTCTACTACTAGCTCTACCACCATCTGATAAGGACTCTTACCACCATCTGAAGACCTCCCTGACAAAAGGACATGCCATCATTTGATGCAAATTCCATCTACCTGCCTCTTGACTTTGTGTCACGGGACTTGTGTCATTCCGGACTGGTTGTTTTCTTTGTGGTTTAAGTGTAGCACGCCTGTATAATAAATCCTCACTACTTTCATGTTTGAAAAAATGAGCTTGTGTGTTATTTCAAGGTCTTTGTTTTTTATTGACACTACTATTGCTGAGGGGATATAAAGGAGTTATTGCAGGGAATTGACGTGATTGAGTACTTACTTGATCACATCTTTATTTGAATGCATCGTTCTTCCCCTGCCCTCATAAGATGTATGGCTGGATCTACAGTGAGTGCTAGGTAATGAAAAAGGATAGAACATGAGTGGGCAGAGGAACTGGGTGGAATTGTGGCTGAAGGGGGGAAAGTATTAAAGTAAGCGCCTCTAGGCATTTCAGGAGGGTGGGGCACGGTGACTGCGGTTAGGTTAGAACCCGAGGTTGCATTGGTGCGCGTTACTTCCTGGTCCTCGCGCTGTGCAAAGCGTTCTGTTACCATCGTAACGCGCGGAGCCTGCTGGGAGCTTCCTGGGACCTAATGCGCAGCTACCCCGTCGATCGAGTTTGGTTCCGGGGCTGGTTCCTAGAGCGTCGCCGCTTCCGTAGGAAGCGGAAGTGCCTGTAGGTGGGCGGCTCTTTGTCAGAGTCGGAGGAGCCGGCAGGCGGTACTGGCGGCTGCAGCAGGGACAGCGGTGGCTCCGGCTGCAGGTGAGGGAGGGGGAGGCGGCGCCCGAAGGGGAGGAGCCGGGACTGGCCCCAAACGCCCGCCTGGTCTGCTCGACCGCGGGCTGGCCAGCGGGGCCGCTCTGTTAGCCTAGGCCCCTCGATGAGGGTCCTGAGCACAGGTACTCCCCTTGGCTCAGCACACCCCTCTCCCTGCCCCGTGACGTCACGGGTCCCGGGTCTTCCGACTGGGGCTCTCAGCGAGTGGCTCAGCCCGTGGCCGCCGGCCGCCCGTGCGGCGCGCGGCGGGCTGGAGAGCCCCCAGGGCCCCTGCTCTTACTTTCCCCCAGCGTTGGCCCGGCTCATTCTCAGCAGCTCCAGGCTAACCTTCCACATCCACGCTGTTTTCCCCCGACTCCTCCCGGCCCAAAGTTCTGCTTTCCCACGCGTGTTGTCTTCACCTCCACATTTTGTGACCTCCGATCCCGTCTTGTCCCCATACCCTCTTCCTATCAACATCACCCCCCTTTGACAGGTAGGAAACAGAGCAGAGATCCTGGAGCCTAAGGGACCTGGCATCCTAAGTCAAGACTTCAGAGTGCACACCCCAAAAATCCTACTGCCCTATTGGACTCTGCAGCTTCATGGAAACCCCCAGGCCTCCACTAAGGCTCTGTCACCTGCTCAGATCCCATCAGTGATGTGGAAGTGGATACCTGCAACAGCCCCAGACTTTACCTGAGATAACTTAGGTATCTATCCCGGGACAGTTGTGAGGGGAGAGCGGTAGTATGTCTCCTGATTTTTCAAGGGATGTACAGTGAAGATAGGCTTAGGATGGCTATTGTCTAGCTCCTTGATGTCACTTTCTTTTAGTTCAGAGCGCTCGCTATCTCTTTTAGCAACTGTTTTACCACTCTTATTCATTCTAGATTCTGCTTCCATAAATGCAACCATTGTTGCTGCGTGCCTCATGCTGCATGTTGGGCCAGTTATGACCTTATTGGCCTACTTGAAGGAGGGCTAAGGAGGGAGTCAGGGTTAAGAATAAGTTGGGCAATGGAAGTAAGAGCAGGAGAGGCTTCACTGATTCAAGGGAAAGAATGCTGGTGTTGCCATCGCTGAGCAGCAGAGGGGGCCCTTAGCATCATGTGGAAAATACTTGGGGGTAAGACACGGTAACAGAGACAGCAAACCTGGGCCAGAGGGTGGGGCAAACAGTAGACTTGATAGTTCAGATGTCCCTTGAGGAAAGAGGAAGATTTAAAAGGATTTTACAGAGTCTATAAATAAATAGAAACTTTATGAGTGTGAGAAGTAGCCTGGCTCAGTGTTAAGTCAGACCTCTCATGAAATCCATCTGAGCGGGGGGTGGGGGGGATGTTAAGGAGTAAGAGGTGAGAAGGGGTATTGGTGGTGGAGGAGGAGAGACAGAAGGAAGGTTTCCGTGGAGTTGACAGGGTTCAGATTAACTTTCTCCTCCCATTTTGGCCTTGTTTCCCAAAAAGCTTTTTATCCTGGGGGTGGGGAGACAACAGCTGCTGAATCCCTCTCCTCCCCATGTAATAGACACTCAGAAAAGTTTAGGGGCTTCCCAAGCTGGTGACACTTCTCCCTTTGTCCAGGGTTTCAGAAAGTCTGGAGGTTTAGAATATAGAAGCCACCCCCCACTTAGGGACATTTGGGAAAGGTACAGAGTAGATCAGAACATTAAGAATTAAGGTTGTGCTTCTATTGTCCTTTTCCCTACTGCCCTCAGCATCCTCTCTCCAACTCCTCTCCTCTCCCCCCCCCCCCGTTCCCTTCCCCCCCCGCCCCCGCCAAAGCTTATTCAAACACTTATGAAAAATTTTGATTTCATTCCAGTGACTTTAATAAGGTCAGTGAGAGGGGGAGGCAAAATCCTACAGTATCCTCTTCAGCTAACCATCATTAATCAGCAGGTGGGTGGCTTAACCCTCCTCCCCCCCTTTTTTTTTCCTTCTCCCCTGCCCAAAATAAGCAAGCAAAGTGAATCACTCCCAACAAGATCAGGTGCACAAGGGGTTGGGCAAGACCTCTCCTGACACTGCATACTCCAGCGGTGGCAGCAGTTCCAGTCTGTAAGTATGGTAGGCACAGAATCTACTAGTGGCCCCTTGGGCCAGTCTGTCACTGCCAAGAATAGGGATAAGCAGGGTCCTTTTCCAGGAATCCCTTTGTCTGATGCTGTTCTCTTTTTTCCTCTTTGTACCCAAGGGTGGCGGAAAAGGACGAAGCCACTCATTTGGAGTGGGACCAGAATGCCTGACCGAGACAGCTACACCAATGGCACAGGGAGCAGCAACGGAGGCTCTGGAGGTGGTGGCAGTGAGGAGACCAGTGGAGCTGGGTCAGGAGCTAATGCAGGCAGCTCAGATGCTATCTGCCGGGACTTTCTGAGGAATGTGTGTAAGCGGGGCAAACGCTGTCGCTACCGCCACCCGGACATGAGCGAGGTCTCCAACTTAGGGGTGAGCAAGAATGAATTCATCTTCTGCCATGACTTCCAAAACAAAGAGTGCAGTCGTCTGAACTGCCGCTTCATCCATGGCTCCAAGGAGGATGAGGATGGCTACAAGAAGACAGGTGAACTACCCCCACGACTAAGGCAGAAGGTGGCAGCAGGCCTGGGCCTCTCCCCAGCTGACCTCCCCAATGGCAAAGAGGAGGTTCCTATCTGCCGGGACTTTCTCAAAGGGGATTGTCAGCGTGGAGCCAAATGCAAGTTCCGCCATCTACAGCGGGATTTTGAGTTTGAAACTCGGGGTGGGGGGGGCACTGGTGGAGGAGGGTCTGCAGGTCCAGCACCTGCCAACCGTCGCCATGATCTTTATGACACATATGATCTTTCGGACCGGGGCTTTGAGGACCATGAGCCATGCCCCAAGCGTCGTCGGGGAGGGGGTGGGTGCCCCCCAGATAGTTCCCACTTTGAGACATTTGAGTACAGCCTGGCCCCACCCCGGGGATTGGAGTGCCGGTTGCTGGAAGAGGAGAATGCTATGCTCAGGAAGCGGGTGGAGGAGCTAAAGAAGCAGGTCAGCAACTTGTTGGCCACCAATGAAGTCCTGTTGGAGCAGAACGCCCAGTTCCGTAACCAGGCCAAGGTCATGACCCTGAGCTCCACAGCACCAGCCACAGAACAAACGTTGGCACCAAGTGTGGGCACTGTCACCAACTACAACCATGGCATTGCCCAGACACATACCACACTCAGCAGCCAGGCCCTGCAGCCTAGACCTGTGTCCCAGCAAGAGCTTGTAGCCCCTACAGGTGCACCAGCTGCCCCACCAACTAATGCAGCACCTCCCACAGCCCCTCCACCACCACCACCACCCCCTCACCTGAACCCCGAGATCACACCGCTCTCAGCTGCTCTGGCCCAAACGATTGCCCAAGGCATGGCCCCTCCTCCAGTCTCCATGGCCCCTGTGGCGGTGTCTGTTGCCCCTGTGGCTGTTTCGATGGCCCAGCCACTGGCAGGAATCACAATGAGCCACACTACTACCCCCATGGTGACTTACCCCATTGCCTCACAGAGCATGCGCATCACTGCCATGCCACACTGACCAGGTCACTGGACGCTTCTCTGATACTTCCTCCCTGGCAAAGAGGGTGGGAGAAGAGGGCTCGTTCATCTCTTCTCTTCATGTGCATAGAAGGGAGCTCGTGAGAGAATGAGGATAACAGACCTACAGGTACTGGGTGGTGTTCTAGAAGAGGTGAGGGAAAGTTAGATTTTTCCCAGCCTCCTAAGAAGCGCACCTTTCCAGCTTCCCTCAAGCCAAACCAGAGGAGCCTAACAAGGGAGCCAGGACTATGGGCTGCCAGGAGAGGCAGGGATGACTGAAAGGCTTTTGTGTTCCCAGAAAGACTTGGCTGATGGGATATTGAGCTCTCCCAAACACTGACCTCCTCCCTGCTCTCCCCCACAGCATAGACTAGTGCTGATTTTTGAAAATGAGCCCAGACCCTGTAAAGCGAGAGTAACTGGGGTCAAGGAAAGTTAGAATATGGAGCTTTCAGACTCAGAGACTTTGGCCCATTCTCGATGTGAGGATTCGTCTGGGCCCAGGGTTGGGGAGAGGAATACCAGGAGGCCCTAATGTTTCAGGGCAGTGGGCTAGGGAATTGTTAAACCAGGTGGGGTTAGGAGTCCTCAGAGCAGGGCCCCACCATTTTCCAAAGAAATAAAATAATTATTTTTAACAAAAGGAGGCACTGGAGACTTACTGGGAGTTTATGTGTGTTGGGAGTCCTGTTTTAAAATCTGAACACGACCCACCCGTGGTCAATACGGAAATGGCATTGTAGAGGACAACGAGAAGAGTCATGGATCCCGGGACTAAAGGCTCTGTGGATCTGTAAAGATTCAAGTTGGGGGTAAGGGGACTGGCAACACATGGTAAGGTTTAAAAATAACCTGTCTGTGTCTTGAATGCAGTGTTATTCCCAGGCAGTCTTGCTAACCAGGGCTCCTAGGGTCATTGGTGGAGGAGGGGCAATGAAATGTATTGCTGGGAAGCTGGGATGGAGTGTTCATCTAGCTGACAGAGTCTGCCCTTTCCTCCCTGACTTTGAAATAGCAGGTGCTAGAGAAGTTGGGTGGGGGAGGGGGAGATATCCATGGCTGGTGGACTATGCCAAGCAAGGTTTCATTCCCTCTCCAGCTGCATTTGTGAAGTTGTTTAATGGCCGCTGATGCCTCTTCTTACCTCCGAAGCCAACATTTTGGGTTGTAAGGCCTTGAGTGATATTGTGGTAGATGGGTCATTTCTTATAAGATTAGTCTCCACTGTTCAGCTGATCCCTATCCTGCTACCTGCAAGGAGGCCTAAGAAGGAGATTATGTCACATCCCCTAAGGTTGCCAGTGTTCGGCTTCATTAGCTATTATCAGCTCCTCTCACTATTGGTTGAGCTGAAGAAAAAATTGAAAGTGTCCTTTCTTACTGGACATCATGTTTGTTACCAGGAAAGGGTGAGTTTGGGTTCTGATCTATTTTAACTTTCCTGTGGCATCTTTTAGGGCCTTTAAAATAGACCAGAACCACTGATTTCTCCTTTCTCTGGTTGTGTCCCCGTGGTCACACTCAGTGTCAGAAACCAAAAATAAATATTCTAGCAGATTGGAAATGGCCAGATGTTCCAGTTTTTAAAAATAATAGAATCTGGAAACTAGACCAGTAAGCTTGGCATCAGTCCCTGAAGAATTCTAAAAATGGATTATTAAACAATTGTTTATGCACACTTGAAAAAGAATGTGGTGTACACTAGGAGCCAGCGTGGGCTCATTGGCAGGGTGATGTTCCTGTCCTGTTAATCTCTAACTCTGGTTACTCCCTACTATCTGCCTTCTCTGCTCCTGCTCACAAGCAGTGCAGTTTCTGGAGGAAGTGATAAAACTAAGCAGTCTCCTCCACAAATTTGTGCTTTTCAGCTCAATCCTCACTGCTTCACACTCAACACCAGTCCTTTCACTTTTCTCTTTTTTGCTCCCTATTAAGTTTTCTCAAGCAGCTGTTCTAAATCTCCTTTATCCTCAAGTACTTGCTCTCAAAAAGTGCACCTTGTTTATAGCGTTCCTGAGAAGACTGAAGCTATCTATCCTGACCTCTTCCTCATCTCCACATCCCTCTGTTGTGTATCATTCTTTGATAGAGTTTAAGGACCTTGAGAGCAGGGATTTTTTCCTCTTTCTTTGGTATTTGTATCCCCAAGCACCTGGAACCTAGACACTTAATAAATGTTTGTTGAGTGTTACAGAAATAAGGTGCATCTTCTTGCCAGAGTTAACCCCTCTGCTTATGCCCATCTCCACATTTCCTTCACTCTCTTCCAGAACCATGTTCACTGATCCATCTCTTCATTGTTTCATCTTCGTTCTCATTCCTCTGAACATGCTCAGGTATTCTAATGAAAATCCTCCTTTGACCATACACTATTCTGTAAACTGCCTTTCTGTTTCCTGTTCAGGACTAATCCAGGAGAGAAAAAAAGTCTACACTTGATATTGACATTTTCTTCCTTCCTCAATACCCACTCCCTCCTCAAGCTGCCTTCCAACTGCACCATGGTACTGAAACTGCTTTCTCTAAGGTCACCAGGGAACTGATCATATAATATAACTGCCTCTCAAGTATTCATCCTCCATGCTGCAGCATTTGACATTACTGATCATTGCCTCCTCTATTCCCTTCTCTTCCGTGTTATTCTCCTAGTGACTCTTCTACCTTTCTGACTTATCTGGCTGCCACCTTCTTACTCCTTCACCCTTTTAAGTGTGTGTGTCTCAAGACCCTTTTTGGCCTCTTTTTTCTCTACATACAATCTCATGGCAAATTTAATTCCTGGGTCTTCCAATTATTGCTTCTCTGTAGATGACTTCAGTTCTATATCTCCAGGATACGTCTTCCCTAATTCTCTTAGCTAAAAATAATCTGTTTTCTAGACAACGAGTTCTTAACCTTTTTTGTGTAATGATCACCTTTGACAGTGTGTTGAAGGTTACTGACCCTTTTTCAGAGGAGTTTTTAAAGGCATTAAATAAAATACATAGGGTTACAAAGAAAACCAATTATATGGAAATAAACCTGTCAAAATGTTTTAAAAACAAGGTCATGGACCTCCCAGGTTAAGAAACCATCCCTATCTTAGACTCTTCCATGCCCCTCTGACCTTTTTTATTGATTCAGTCATTTTCTTCTTGGTATTATATATACTTATTTGGGTACTTGTCTCACCCTGTCTTATTATTATACTAGAGTACTCTCTCCTTGAGGGCAGAGTCTTTGTAATTTCTCTTTCTGAGCACCTAGCAAGCAAGTCTTAGCACATGGTAGGTGCTTAATAAATGATTGTTGAGTTGAGCTAAAAACAAGTTACATTAAAGTAACCTTTTTCTTTTTCTTTTTTGGTTAGGATACCAGATTGGTAGAGCAAACACAGTATTTTGCTTTTATCGAGGCATTTGATATTCATTACAGTCTTGTGGATAGATTAACTGGAGAAATAGGAGCTATTCATGATAACATTGTTTAGTTGGGCACATCCAAAGTGTTGCTTGCTGCCCAGGATGAAGGCATTCCTCAGGATTCTGTTCTTTTTCAATCTTTCTATCAGTGACTTAGATAAAAATATTAATTAACAACTGTGTAAATGACACAAAGTGAGAAGGAATTGCTAATTTGTTAAATGATAGAATCAAAACCAAGAGTTTTTTGGGGTTTTTTTTGACAGGCTAGAATGCTGGGCTGTCCCCCTGTGACTACGATGCACTCCTCATCTTTGACCCTTAAAATCTCTACTTTCCTTTAGGGCTCAAATCAACCACCATCTCCTACATAAAGGTCTTTCCTGTTTCCTTAGCTGCTAATGCCTTATCTCTTCCCTCTACCCCCACTCCGGAAAAAAAAAATTACTTTTTATTTTATATGTACTTACATGTCTATATTTTGTCTGTCATCCTCCTTGAGGGGCACATTCAATTACATTTTTTGTCTTTGTATGCCCCACATCTAGCACAATGTTTGGCATGTAGTTGGTGCTTAATGTTTATTGACTGAGCCAAAAGATTAAATTTAATAGGAATTCAACAATTAAATAAACATTTACTGAGCATCTCTACTGTGTGTAGAGCTCAATGCTAGGCCCCTGGGGAAGTGTAAAGTTTAGATAAAACATGGTCCTCAGTTTTGTTCAGTTTACAATCTGGCTGTGTGTAACAAATTACTGTAATAATAATAATATAGCTATAAGAGATGAAAAGATCATTACCAATTAGGGGATCATGGAGAAGATGGCAGTTGAGTTGAACTTTAAAGGACAGAGGTGAGGAGAGCAGCATTCCATGTTCTGAGAACACCTTTCATAGACAGGAAAATACAAAACACATATGGAAGGTGGCAAGGAGAATGGTTTGGCTAGCATACCCCACTAGAGAGCCATTAGCCATTTGAAGACTCAGGTCTGTGACTCAAGAGAGACCAAAGTTAGGCATAGAGATCAGGGAGTTATATATGTAGTATGGTACACATAACAGTTACTGAATAAATGCACTTTCATTCACTGTTCCATGATGGCTCATGCTTTGGGAGCAATGAGACTGCCAGGTGAGACTGTAAAGAAAGAACAGAACCCATGACAAAACTTTGGGAAATGCCTTTCTTAAGAGGTCAGGATGAGGAAAAAAGAGCCAGGACTTATTAAAGGGGTAGGGGAATGAAGACACTAAAAGAGGAAAGGATATCCAAAAAGAGAAAGGGAACGTTAATGTCAAATGCTAAAGAGAAATCAAGGAAGATAATGACTGGAAAAAAGACTATTGGATTTCACATGACTTTTTTTTTGGGGGGGGGGCGGTTGGAGATCAAGTCTTCCTGCCTTGCCAGTGGTCATTCACAGCTGGAGCCCACTGCTGGTCAGCATAGACACTTTGGCTCTGTTAATGACCTAGGCTGGCTTGCCTCTCCTTAGGCAGCCTAGTACCCTGTCCTCACCTCCAGGGGGCTTGCCATATGGATGGAGAAGTTAATGTGGACACCTGATGGCCTTTTCCCTACTGCACCTCAGAATTCCCAAACTCAGGCGATCCACCAGCCTCAGGTTCCCCATAAAGAAGTGCTGCAAGTGTGTGTCATAATGTCCTTGATGACTGTAGTTTTAGTGGAGTGGTGGAAATGGGAGTCAAATCACAAAGGGTAGTGATAAAATGGCAGGACCAAATGATAACTACTTAAAAAAAAATGACCACGAGGGAGAGGAGAGAGCTTGAGGGAAGACTTTAGGATATTTGCAGAGAAATCAAAAGTATAGGAGAGATTAAAGATTCATGAAAAGGCAGCAGGCAGTGTGAAGTAGGGAAAGTACTAGGCAGAGTCAGGAGACAGCTTGGTTTGAATATCTAGTAGTGTGATCTTGGCAAGTCACAACCTCTCTGAAACTCAATTTCCTCATCTGCGTAATTGGGATAATAATAAAGTGCTATATAAATGTGAGCTATTGTTATGAGATGAATTCTGTAACAAAGTCATGGAGAAGGCAGGAAGAGACAGAATGAAGGGTGGAGTGATTACTCTTAACAAGAATTTGTTGTACAGTCAAATCCAACTCTTCGTGACCCCATTTGAGGTTTTCTTGGTAAAGATGCTGGAGTGGTTTGCCATTTCCTTCTCCAGCTCATTTTACAGATAAGGAAACTGAGGCAAACAGTTAAGTGATTTGCCCAGGTTCGCAGCTAGTGACCTAGTCTGAGGCTAGATAGATTTGAACTCTGAAAGATGAGTCTTCCTGATTCCTTCATTTTGGGGGGGGGGGGGCGGAGACGGCACAGGCTAGCCAATGGGGATAAGTGACTTGCCCAGGGTCACACAGCTAGTAAGTGATATGTGTCTGAGGTCAGATTTGAACTCAGGTCCTCCTGATTCCAGGGCCAGTGCTCTATCCACTGTGCCACCTAGCTGCCCCCTAGTCTTCCTGATTCCAAGTCCAGTGCTCCATCCATTGCATCACCTAGCTGCCCCCTTCTTTTGATACAGGAGAAAAGAATAGGTGAAAATAAATGAGAATTTTTAGAATAAAAGAAAGTTGAGAGAGCTTAGACAGCTTCAATCTTCTCCGAGTGAAGTAGGAGGCTACCTCCATCTCTTATAAGTGTGAGGGGTGATTGGAAGCTTGAGGAGAGAGGAAAAAGTTTGAAGCAATCCTTATTGGAGTTGAGATAGAAGGACAATGAGAATAGAATAAAATGACTGTCAGGTAACAGTGAGGGCCCCTGTGAGCTTTTGCAATATAAATTTGTATGAAATAAAATTCACATATGACATTTTATATGTATGCTCCGTGTGATGTTTTATATGTACACTACATAGGACAGTGCAGCTGGGCTGTCCAAAGCAGCTCATGCCTCAGAAAAGCAATGTGTCCCTGTATTAATTATTTAAGTTACCCATGGAGTGGCAGTCTCCTTGAGTCCCTAGTAAGCCCGGTAACCATCTCAGTTCCTCTCCCAAACATGTCTATGGTCTTCCTACAGGCTGTATTATCCTTACTGGCCACTAGATGATGCTCAGCCTACAAATGCCTAGGGTGCTTCTCCAACGACCACAGCATTTCACTTCAAGCAAGGCCATGCTGCATTAAGACCCAATGTTGGTGGAATTCAGATTTTAGTCAAAATGACAAAAACTTGAAATTTGTGACTAGCTGTGCCACCCCACATCTGGAATCTCTTCTCTCAATCATCAATACCTCCACTCCAATAGACACAGGACACAAGTAGTCAAACCACTGTGACTAAATAACCTAGGGAATCTGGTAAAAATGAAAGTAAACAAATTGAGCACTCATCTCCCAAAGCTCCCTCCCAGTTGCCCTCCCAGTTCTTCAGAGAGATAGAAGTTCTCAAACCACCCACACTTACTGATCACGGAAACGTTGTAAGGGAAGAGGGCACATGTGTTCCAGCCTGGAGACCATCTACTCTTACCCCCTCCAGTTCCAGTTCCATACTGCAGATCTCTTGCCACCTCAGTTTTCTGAGCCTGAAGATTCAGAGGGAGGATTAGTCATGATTTTGCCTCTTCCTCTTCTAGACCACCAGCAAGTAGTCTTGGGTCTCGGCAACTTTCTCACATGGTGCAGGTCTAGTCTACCTCATAGGAACTCCACCATTCTCCATTTGCACAGGAAGTAGGAAATCCAGAATCCCAAAAGCAACAGAAAGAAACAGTCAATTCTGGTCCCCAAGGTCCTGGTCTTGTCCACTCTATCTTCTTGTCCATTTCAAGTGTAAGATCAGGGCAGCTAGGTGGCGAAGTGGATAGAGCTCCTGCCTTGGAGTCAGAAGGACCTGAGTTCAAATGTGAACTCAGACACATACACTCACTAGCTGTGTGACTCTGGGCAAGTCACTTATCCCCAATTGCCTCCAAAATAAAACAAAACAAAACTCAATATATGTCAAGTGTAAGATCCCTGACTTTCCTGGGAAGGGAAAAGGACAGGTCCTCAGGCTCTCTTTCAAGATGAATCATCATCATTGTGGGCCAAAAGGTAAATAATCATATAAGAAGAGTACATACATGGCACAGATGGACACAGGTTATGCAAAACTTTCTCCAGTAACATTCAGTAGCCTAGGAGGAAGAGTAGAAAAATCAAATCAGAAATTTGCCAGGGTTGAAGATTAAAAAGTCAATGGCATCAGATGGGAGAGGAGTGTATGGCAATTTTAGTTCTGTGACTTAGGGTGGTTAGCGGTTCATTAAAGTTCATCGACAGCAATGGAGTCAAGACTGGGCATAGAAGCAAGTTAAGATGAAGTCAATTTAAAGTGGGTCAAATTGCCAGAGGGCCTTTGATGAGGAAAAAAAAAAATAAAGTTTTACAAATTGATCCAACAATTAACTGTACAAATTTGTACTTCAGATGAAAAGGGGTGGGGGGGAGGCAGGAGGGAGGAGAGAGAAAGAGTCTTGTCTTAAGAGCAGTTCTCGTGAAAAAGACAAGGGACAAAAAGACAAGTTCAATATTAGTCAACAGTATGGTCTATCTTAAAAGCTAATTCATTCTTAAGCAGTATTCAGGGAAGTAGATGGTCATAAGATCACAGACTTAAAACTGTAAGGAATGTTTGAAGTCATCTTCTGAAACAACTGAGAAGTTATAGCTTGCCTCCAGGTCACACAGGAAGTATAATGGAACCAGGATTTAAACCCAGGTCCTCTGACTTCAAATCCAGGACTCTTTTCATTGTGCCACAATGTCCTAGTGAAGAGATTTGAAATTGTGTCATGAGGAATGATTGATAGACTTGGGGATGTTTAGCTTGGAGAAGATGAGTGTGGGAGATGGTAGGGAGAGTTCTGTTAATAGGAGGTGACAGCCCTATTGTCCTCTGCCATAGTCAGACTACATCTGTGTTTAACATTGAATTCAGGTCTGGGTACTACATTTAAAGAGGAATTTTAACCAATGTAAACTCCTTGAAGGCAAAAACTCCCATTTTTGTAACATTTAGTAGGTGCTTAATGAATGTTTGTTGCCTGATTATCAAAGGAGCATGTTAAAGTGGAAATTCCCAGGTTCTATCAGCACCTGATCCCTGGTATCTGCTCCATTTCCTATCACCATCCAACGTCAGACCCTTTCGTTGGAATAATGCTTCACAGGGGCAGCTAGGTGACAGTGGATAGATCATTGGCACTGGAATCAGGAGGCTCTGAGTTCAAATCCAGCCTCTGATACTTACTAGTTGTGTGACCCTGGGGAAGTTACTTAACCCTGATTACCCAAAAAGAAGAATACTTTATGGATTTTTAATCTTGTCAACATGGGTACTGTACTTTCTGACCAGGATGCAACTCCCATACTCCCATAGCTTGGAAAACGGTCTTCAGGAACTGCGTGTGGCTGAAAAAAATCCATCAGCTTCTGCCTAATCTATTAAGGAACTTGAATGAGTCCTGGGACTACAGACATACCATCAAAAGTCTTTCTTCTTTAGTTCCAGAGCTTGTCGTCTTCTGCTGCAAGAACCTGGGATAACCTTCAAACTATAATGAGGCATTGAAGAATGATTTTAGTGGCAGTCACAGAATCCTGTGAAAAGTATGCTCCATGTAAGGTGTGTCTGCCACCATGGGTTGTGTAAATGCAGCTCAAAGGGTTACATGTAGGATCCTCCATAACTCCAGAGCTAAAAGGGGCTTCAGAGACTCCTGCTGTAGTCCAGCTCCTTTTTATAGACGAAGACATTGAAGCCCAGTCACTTGTCCGAGTTTATACAGGTGGTAAGCATCAGGCATACTTATAAATTACAGATTAATTTTTAATAATTATATAATGTGTTATTACAAAGCAAATGTTAATAAATTATATATTAATAAAAGTTGTAATTCAAGGAAGTTTCAATATCTCCACTGCCCCACTCTTTAGAAATGATACGGCTGGTAAATGGCCACTGCCTCCCTCTCTTCTCCCCTCCACCTTCCCAGTCTTTCCATTACCTCCAACCACCACCAGATGGCACGTAGGCAGTAGGGATGCCAAGGAGAGGCAGGAAGATGAGGTGTTTATGTACCAGATGTCTGCATTGCAGCTTCTGGGCTTGGGTACTTCTTAGCTCCAGCTGGGGGAGGGGACTTGAGGGATTCAGGCTCTCTGTCCCCTTTACCCATCACGGTGAGAGCCTACTTGTTCCGATGCTCAGATATGAAGGGTGAGGGAACCTCCAGAAGTCAACTTATCCTGCAGATACAGTCAGTCTGGGCTAGTGAGTGAATGAGTGAGTGAGTGTGTGTGTGTGTGTGTGTGTGTGTTGGGGGTGGGGGATTGCCTCTTTGTTGAGAGCTCTTTGAGGAATAGTATATCCCTGGCCTCCCCCTTTATTCCAATGCTCACTAGCCCTTACCTTGAGAGCTTCTTCCCTCCTTGCAACAAAGCTGTTTGTTTTTGGAATGGAGCCATCAGTTACATGCAGCTCTCCCACGACTCTCTATCCTGCCCTTTCCTCCTGCTCCAACCTCACTCCTCCTTGGGGGTGTGGAGGGATGGATGACAAGACATAGGAAGATGGAAACAGTCTGAGTCTTTAGCAGATTTTGCAGACTATGTAAAGCTCCCAGATGCAACCAGCCCCAGGGAGTCAGAAAAAAAAAGGGAAATAGGAACCCCAGATTAGAGAATTGAGGTTAGGCTATTGGGCGGGGACAGGTTCTGAGCAGCTCTGATGAAACACTGCCAGGGGCTCAGAGTAGATGAGTAGATGTCAGATAAAATCCACACCTCGAAGAGCCAAATAAACTAACTGCCAGAATGGTGCGTCTTCTCTACCACCCAACTCTACTTCTGCACCAAAAGAGGAAGGGAGGAAGGGCTCAGACACAGGGCTGTGCCTGATACTCCCTGGCATTACCATCTCATAATGAAACTGGTGCTACAAAGACCTGTGATTTCCTTGGTGTGGGTTCGATCTCCACAGAAAGTTTCTAAACTAAATATCACTTGGTAGATGGTTTTCAAGGATTACTGTTAAAAAAAATTATCAGTCATTAGCCAACATGTTGATGAGCTACTCGAACTTAACTAGGCTGGCCTTCAGCCTACAGAATGAGGACTTTAGCTCTAATGCTTCAATTACCTATCCATGGTTCAATTGATGGGATAGTCTCTCCATCTGTGCAAATCAAAACCCATCCAGCATGTTTTCATCCAGTGCCCTTCTTGTCCCACAGATTCTCCATAAAGCATCTAAATTACTTTACATTTCATGGGTATCTGGGCAACATTTTTACTGTCCATCTGTCATTTCTCATCCTCACACCGTAGTCAGCCCACTTCCTTTTCTGATCTTCCTTTTCTTGAATGAAAACCTATTAGTCTAAATAACTGACATTTATAGAGTTTTCCAAAGTACCTACATTATCTCATTTGGGTCTCCAAACAACCCTGGGAGATTAGTACCTCAGGATTGCTGTGAAGCAAGTACTATGCTAAGTGCTATAAGTGATTAGCTTCATTTTACAAATGAGGAACCTGGGGGTCATTAAGGTTATACAATTTGTCCAGTGTTACCCAGCTAAGAATTTTCAGAGATGGGATGCAAACCCAGGTCTATCCTGACTTCAAGTCCAGAGGTCACACACAGAACCAGGCTCTCTCCACCATGCTTCTCACATACATGTCTGGTAGGCCTACCTGTCCACATTGGCATCTTTCATTTCTCAGTCCCCAAACAATCCTCAATTCTCAACACCAAAAAAACAAAAACAAAAACAAAAACAATTTTTTTTTTTCTGGGACCTGTGGTTTCACAGATGTAGGGAACTCTTGGTAAGGAAATTTTCTCTACCAATACAGATGGATAGCTTGTATTCATATTTGTTTTCATGTTGTCTCCCCTATTAGATTGTAAGCTCTTGAGAGCAGGGATTGTCTTTTGCCTCTTTTTGTATCCCTAGTACTTAGTGCAGTGAGTGGTACATCAAAGGTACTTTTTTTTTTTTTACATTGAAGGTATTTAACAAATGTTTATTAATTGATTGGTTCTTCAAGTTAGTATTAGAGAATTGCTGAAGGCACTTGAGTAGTTAATGATTTGTCCAGAGTCACTCAATTAGTACCTGTGAGAGCTGGGATTTGAATCCAGATTGTCTTGACTCAAAAGTGGTTCCCCTCCTCACCTGCCTCTCAACATCAGGAGAAACATCTTCATCACACCACCTCCTTTGGTCTACTTGAGTAATAACAGAACTTACCCATCCTATTCAATTTTTAGGTTCTTAGAAACTCTCTTTTTAAAAAAAAATTAATTTATTTTGATTTATCAACAATCACTTCCATAAGCTTTTGCATTTTAAATTTTTCTTCCTCTCCCTCCCTCCCTCCCTCTCTCCCTAAGATGGTACGAAATCTAATATAGGCTTTACATATACATTCCTATTAAACATAATTTCACATTAGTGATGTTGTAAGTAAAAATTAGAACCAATAGGAGGAACCACCAGAAAGAGGACACAAAACACAACAGAAGAGAAAAAAAAGAGTAAATAGTATGCTTCGATCTGCATTCAAACTCCATAGTTCTTTCTTTGGATGTGGATAGCATTTTCCATCATGAGGCCTTTGGAGACATCTTAGATTAGAAACTCTCTAAAGGAAGCTTTACAACATCTTTGAGTCACTTAACATGGTGTCTGTCGATGCCAGAACAAGATGTATTTGCATTGTAGGCGAGATTTGAAAAAGTTCACCCTCTTTATTTTGAATACAGTGCTTTAAAAAAAAAATTATGTACCATTGACAATGGAACTTTATGGCATTGAACTATAGGCATTTGTATCTAGTAATATAGATTTTTATTGATACCTTTTTGTTTTGTCACCTAGATTTCCCCCCTTAATCTTATCCATACTCTCTCCTAGAGAGCCAAAACAATTCTTTAAAAGAGGAAGAGAAAAAGATTAAGCAGAACTTGAAACATTGAAAAAATATGACATTATATGAAATGTTGTAAATTTATGAACTATTTTGGGAGGAAGCGTATTCTCATATCTCTTCTTTGGGGCCAAGCTTGTTATAATTTCGCAACATTCTCCTAAAAATACATTTTTGTGACTATTGTTCTTTCTATATACATTGTTGCAGCCATTGTGTGTATTGTTTTCTTGGCTCTGCTTATTTCACCTTTCATCAGTTAACAAGTCTTTTCAAGTTTCTCTTCATTTATCTTGTTCATTGTTTCTTATAGCACAGTAATAATCCATTATATAAATATATCACAATTTGTTTAGCCATTCCCCAACTACTGAACATCTACTTTGTTTCCAGTTATTTTCTACCAGGAAAACTGCTGCTATTAAGTATTTTGGAGCCTTTCTTTTTGTCAAAAGAGTTTTAGTCACTTTTTTCTTTTTTTTTCTTCTTTTTTGGCCCAATTGCTTTCCATAATCATTGTACCAATTCACAACTCCACCAATGAACCTATCTTCCCATAGCCCCTCCAACATTACTTATTCCCTTTTTTTTGCCATCTTTGACAATTTATTGGATGTGAGGTGAAACCTCAGAGTTATTTGGAATTGCATTTTTCTTATCATTGGTGATTTTGAGTATTCTTTCATATGGCTGCTAATAGCTTGTGATTCTTCTTTTGAGAATTCTTTGTTCATATCCTTTTGCTACTTCTCTATTGAGGAAGAGCTTTTAGAAATATAAGAATTTATAAAAAAAATTTTTTTTAATGTTTCCTATCGTGCCTTACCCTTAATTACACCAGAGTGCCTGGCACATAGTAGAAACCTAATAAATACTTGTTGATTGATTTGATTCATCGATATCTTTGCTGCCTACTCACTGTCAATGACAAAGATTTAACCAATTCATTTGCCTGTTGCAGTCGAGTCCATTTCTTTCCGAACTGCCAATGGCAGAGACAGAAAGGCCGTCTCTCTATAAAGCAACCCTTCAGAGATTTAAAAGACCATTTTCATGAACCGCCTTCTCCAGGCCCTCCATCATTTCTTCTTGGCCCTGATACTGTAGCTCTCCCAGATTTGGGATTAGAGATAATCTAGTCTAGTCCAACGTCCCAATCTGACAGTGGAAGTCACAGAGGTAGCAAATGACAATTTGCTAGATTGAAAAACGTTAGGAGTTGAACTGAGGGCAAACGGCTTCAAATTCAGTGCTGTCTTTCCAGTTCCTCACGCTGACATCCCCCCGGCGTTGATGGAAAACGAGGATGGTGGCAAAACCTTTCATTCCAGTCTTGATCTCAGAAAGACCCCCTGGAAGCAATGGGTTTCGGCACCCTTGGCTGCAGGATAGCGGAAGGTCAGTATCCCCAGCCTATCCCTCCCAACTTACCCATATTTGGGGATAATGGTGTTTCTAAACATCCACAAAACTTTAATTTAGCTCAGCCTAAAACAGAGCAATTGTAGGGAAGGGAAGCTCGTCATGGCGTCATACATCAGCCCCACCCATCCCACGTGGGGACGCCTCCTACTCCGGCCTCCCCTCTTTAAATTGTGCGCCACGCCTCCTCTTCTCCTTCAGACCAATCAGACTCTTCCCTCCCCCTATCTCCCGGAGCATCCCCTCCCAGTGTTTTTTAGCCCAATCAGAGAGGGCTCTGCCCCTCTGGATTCCACACCTCCCCTCCAGAGGGGCGGGGGTCTGGACATGTGGCTCCGCCCCAGTCTTGAGGCGTAGGCCAATGGGAGCTGGCCGAAAGGGGCGTGGTCTAAAGTAGCCGCCCCGCCCCCGGGGTTCTCGGTTTGCTTAGGGGATAGGGGCAGCCAGGCGGGGCAGCGCGGAGCTGGGCTCCAGTGCGGGCGGGCGTTGGCACCATGGAGCGGCCCGTTGGAAAGGGTCTTGGCCCCGTGGCCGGCCCCGCTGACCAAATCCCCGAGGAGCCAACCAAGCAGGACCCTAACCCAGCGGAGCCGCCGCCACCGCCGCCGCAACAGCAGCAGCAGCAACCCGGGGCAGCGGGCGAGGCGCTGGCCGTGCTGAGCTCCTTCGGGCGGAGGCTGCTAGTGCTGGTGCCCGTGTATCTGGCTGGGGCCCTGGGGCTCAGCGTGGGCTTCGTGCTCTTCGGCCTAGCCCTCTACCTGGGCTGGCGCCGGGTCCGCGGCGAGAAGGAACGGAGCTTGCGGGCTGCGCGGCAGCTACTGGACAACGAGGAAAAGCTCACCGCGCAGACCCTCTACCTGAGCCATCGCGAGCTGCCCGCTTGGGTGAGAGAGCCCTCCGCCCCCTACCTCCTGCAGTCCCTGGCCAGTCCCCCCGGGACCACCCCCGGCCGGACTTCTGGAGACTCCCCCCCATCGTACCCCACCCCTCCCTCCTCGAGCATCGCCATCCCCAGGAGAGCAACCCAGACTTCACTCCACCCCAACAGCCCTGCCTTCCTTAACTCTTGCGGGATCCGGATCTCCGGGAATCCGCCACCGCTCCCGCCAGGATTCTCTTCTCCTCCCTCCGTCCCCTTCCACTAGACACTGCCAAGGTTCCCTAGCCCCGAAGCTGTTAACTTCTCCCGTTTTCGCTCTCCGGAGCTCTGAACGCTACTCCTACCGTCCCCCACACACACACCTTGGCACCATATATCAGGCATGCCACCTTCCCCAGACTACAGACCACCTCCCACCACCACCACCGCCGTGGGTGCCACCTCATCTGCACTCTCTGTGTGGCTCCTTCTTCCCCTCCCCCACGGGTATCTCCGTCACCTTCCCCACTGACTCTGCTCCGAGGGATTTCCCTGTCCTTCCCTTCTCCCTCCTCCTCCCCCCATACTGGGACATTTTTACCTACTTTATTGTATGGTTCCCCCACCCCAACTCTGAGGTTACAAGGACCCAGCCCCTCGGACATCGGTCATGCTCCCCTCCCTCGTTCCTCCTCAGGCATCCCTAACTCCCTGGATGGACCCTTTTTTGTACCTCACTACCTAAGCATCAGGCCCCCAGTCTGGACTGCAGTAGTGGTTGTGGTTGGCTGCAGGACGGGGGGGTGGGGGGGGAGAGAAGGAGGGGAGAAAGAGAGAGAGAGAAAGGGAGAGGGGAGAGGGATATGTGCAGATGCTGCAGTGTCTGCTGTCCACACCCTTCCCCCACCTTCTGGCTTCAGCCCCACCCTGTTCTTCAGACCCTTCGTCTGGAAAGGTCTAGAGGTATAGGTGAGGTAGGGTGGGGACCCAGAAATACTCCTTTTCTCTGCAGTGAAGGGACAGACCGGATGTAGCAGAGCTGGCCAGGAGGAACATTAGCGGGAAACAGAGCCTGAGCCCAAAACCAAGCTTGGGCCCCTCCCTTTCACACCCCCAACAGAGTTGCCTTGTCTAGAAGGGAATCAAAGCTAGCGCAGACTGAGTGCAACCAGGCTCCTGAAAGAGTGTGGCTCTGCTCTGAGGCTGGCAGTTTTGAGTTGGAGTTCTGCCCTGGAGCCCTACCCTCTGAGCCGGGACTGGTAGCTCAGTTCCTTCTCCCCACCCCCTCCTTCCAGCCCTCTTTACCAGCTCCACTGTCTCTGCCACTCCCGCATCAGATTGTGGAAACTTCTCCTTACCCCTCCCCCAGGAAAAGGGGGGCCTCGGGCCAATTCCCTTGTTATGTTTAGTTTAACCAGTTAGCCTCCCCAGGTGCTTTAGGGTTGGGAAAATGTAAATTCTAGGTATCCTTCTCATTCTCGTCTAGAGTTATAAGGAATGCTGTCCAAAGCAAAGGATTTGTCCTCCTAAAGAATGTACCATCCCTCACCCTAGCAGCTGTGGCTGCTACCTCCCACGCAAAGGAACCATTAGAAAACAAAGGGACTCCTGTGCTGCCTGAGCTTTGACTTAGTACCCCTACAAGAAATCACTACTGCCCCTGCCCCAATCGTCTGCATCTCTAGAACTGTCCTCCAGGAGTCTTTAGTAGAAGTGAAACTACATGTTCCTCTGTACCCGCCCTACTCAATAGCAACAAAAAAATGTACACTGTTAGTGGGCATCCTAGCACACAGGCATATATAAGTACTTCCTGTCCCGTGATGATACCACACTCACAAGGCATAAACCACAGACAGACCAATTTCTTCTAATTCAGGCATTCTCAACCTGGGGGTCCACGAACTTGCAAGGGGAAACATTACATCTTTATTTCAATGTACTTGATTTACTTTGTAATCCTATGTACTTTGTACATTTAAAAGCATTCCGAGAAGAGTTTCATAGGCTTCACTAAGACTGCTGCCTGAGGGGCCCATGATACAGAAAAAGATTAAGAATCCCTGATCTCAGTGGTCCAAATGTATGTTCTTCCTTTCCACCAGGTCAGCTTCCCTGATGTGGAGAAGGTTGAATGGCTGAACAAGGTGAGTTTGCACATGGGTGGACAGATCCTCTCTGACCAGTTGCTGAGACTTTGATTCTCCAGCCAACCAGAAGGGGTACTGACCCCATCACTACCAGTCCAAACTTAGTCTTATCCCCAGAGTTTTCAGGGTGGAGGTGGCTTTTGGGGGAAGTGGATTCTTAGAGGGGAGCTAATTTTGTGAGGAAGAGATAAGGTGATCCTCCCCATGACAACTCCTCTGTCATCCCAAGATTGTGGCCCAAGCCTGGCCCTTCCTGGGCCAGTATATGGAGAAGCTCTTGGCAGAAACAGTGGCCCCAGCTGTTCGGGCATCCAATACTCACCTGCAGACTTTCACATTTACTCGTGTGGAGCTAGGTGAAAAGGTGAGGTGGATGGCACAGGTCATGGGGATAGGGGAGGGTCCAATGTGGGGGTCAGTGCACAGGGGACAGGTAGAACACTACCTTATACCAAATGCATATTGCCTTCCGTCTATTCCCTTCTCAGCCTTTACGTATCCTGGGGGTCAAGGTTCACACTGGTCAGAACAAACAGCAGATCCTGCTGGACCTAAATGTCAGGTACATTCTTCCCCATCACCCCACTCCATTTTATCTATCCCTGGTTTCTCTCTTCTCTTCCTAAACTCCCCTAGCCCTTTTTAAACTTAAATTCCTAATATTATTTGTTTTCTTCTGCTTCTTCCCTTCCCTCACCCACCAGCTATGTGGGTGATGTGCAGATTGATGTGGAAGTGAAGAAATATTTCTGCAAAGCTGGAGTCAAGGGTATGCAGGTGAGTTATAGGAATATCCTCTATATTAGGGTATCTTAGCTCAAAGTTGTGAGAGGTTGTGAGAAAGTAGAGGGCTGGGGTTGGGAAAGTCCTAGTTAAGTGTGTTGGGTAGAGGCAGGGGGTGTGGTTAGGCAAACCATGATTAGGAGACTCTGGCCTTCTCTCTCTGCTCCAGCTACATGGCATCCTAAGGGTGATCCTTGAACCACTTATGGGAGACCTTCCTATCGTTGGGGCTGTTTCCATGTTCTTCATCCGCCGTCCAGTAAGGAGAAATTGGAGGGAAAGGGGTAGGGGTGGGCAGTGAGAGGAGAAGGAGACCCAGGAGAAGGATGATAGCTATGGGGAGGTGATCAGCCCTAGGACCTTCTTTCCTGCAGTATGCATGGTAAAACTAGCTGAAGAAGATTCCAGGGAAACAACATCTAGGACAGAGGTGGGGAACCTGCAGCCTTGAGGCCATATGTGGCCCTCTAGGTCCTCAAGTGGGGCCCTTTGACTGAATCCAAACTTCACAGAATTTGTCCTCTAAAACTTGGGTTCTAAATGAATGGTCTGGTGACTGTGGTCTCAAGTCTGCAGGTTCCCCACCCCTGATAGGAGAAAGGGAATTGCCAGCGATAGGGTGAAGGGGTTGGGTTTCAGGGAAGGAAAGAGTTGAACAATCAACTCAAAGTTGTACCTTAAAATATGCTATTTGTCCTACTCTTTTCATTTCAGACGTTGGACATCAACTGGACAGGGATGACCAACCTGCTAGACATCCCAGGCCTTAGGTATGAATTAACAAGTATTTATTGAGTGCTCACAAAGTGCTCAGCACTGTTATTATGGAGCTATAGTATATGCAGAGAACCATACAAAGATCAGTACCTGCTCTCGAGGAGTTTACAATCTACTTAGAGGAGACAAAATAGCATAGGCTTTGTTGATACGATCCCAAAATTGTGGAAGTCACTGAAAGTCAGGATATAGAATCCTGTAGACAAAGAATCCCCCTCTTTCTTCAAGACTCAGTTCAAGTACCACCTTCTACTGGGCCTCATTTCCTCATCTTTAAAATGAGGGCATTCGGACTAGATGGCTCCTTTAAGGTCCATTCCAGCTCTAAATGAATGGTCTGGTGACTGTGGAGGTCCCTGAACATCAGAATAAATTTAGACATTAACCTATTGATAGGAGAGCCATGTAGGAATCTAAACAAAGGAGTGACATGATGAAAGAGCTTCAGGGAAAAAAAAAAAGAGCTTCAGGAAGATTAATCTGAACAGGTTGGATAAAGGAGACCATTAACTAATTGCAAGAGTTTAAGTGTGAGACTTCCCTCCTCCCAGAAATGTGAGGGACTACAGATGTGGAATACCGTATATGCCGTCAGAAGAGATTTTGTTGATCTGTTCTTCTTATAAATGTGTGTATGGGAGGATCATATATTGAGAGATGATTGTGATGTCAAAAAAGACATCAATAAAATACTACGATAGCCTAAATGGGAGCTGATAAGGGCTTAGAGTGAGAAGGGAGGGGTGGATTTAGGAGGGAAGAATGCAGGGGTCTCCCTGATGGAATATGAGGATTAAAATCATTTGTTCTCATTGCTTTCATCACAGCAATCCTGTAAGGTAGCTAGAGTGGTATTATTTCCCTTTTACACGTCAAGAAACCAGGGCTTAGAAAGATGAATTGTCTTGCCAGTAGACGCACCCCCACAGCCAGTGTCAGACCCCAGGCTTGTGCCCTGACTCTGTGCCCCGCTGTCTTCCCTCCATCATTGTGGTATCATTAAAGAACCACGATGATTAAAATATCCTTTTTGTTTGTCTTTTTACACTTTTTTTTTTTTTTTGGTGAAGGCAATTGGGGTTAAGCGACTTGCCCAGAGTCACACAGCTTGTTTGTCTTTTTAAAAAAAATTTTCCCCATTGATAAATTTTGTTTTTTTAACTTCCATATACAACAGGAGTTCTTAGCTTAGGATCTATGAACTTATTTTTCATTATTAATATTTTGATAACATTAATTTTCAATGTAATTGTTTTCCTTTGTAATCCTATATATTTCATTTTATGCATTTAAAAACATGATTCCAAGAAGGGATTGGCAGGCTTTCCTAGACTGCCAAAGGGGCTCCAAGACACAAAAAGGTTAAGAATCCCTCTGGATCTATGCATATAAGCATTTATATGTGTGTGTGTGTGTGTGTGTGTGTGACCGTACATACACATAGATATATGTATGTATATAATATACACATGTAATATAATTCACGTGTATGTGTATTATATATACATGTAATAATAATATACATGTATGTATATAATATATGTGTATGTATATAATATACATGTGTACATCTATATCTATATAGATATGGATAAATAAATGGAAAGATTATATATATATACATTATTATATGTCTACAGATATAAGCATTAAAGTGTACCATCTTTGATTCTTGTTCATATAAGAAAAATCCTTAGCAAATACTGTCCCCATTCCGATCAGTCGCCATGTTTTGTCCATTCTACCTCCATAAGACATTTTGAGGCAGTCTCCTTCTCTCCTAGGCCAGGCCTTGATTCTCCTTTTGTTCCGGCTCTTTGTTGTAATAAATAGCATTCTCAGGGGTCTGCCTGGTTCCACTTTCATTCAGCTTTAATGCATCTCTACTCAGCTGCCAAAGTCATCTTTCTAAGACAAGGTCTGACCTTGAAAACCGATAGAGTTGAGCTTCTGTCTGGTTTCAGGTGATTGTCCTGTTACTGACCAGTGTTATCAATGCAGACTGTGAGCATTCACTTTAACAAGGAGTACCAACATTCATTCATTCAGCTAACTACTCTGTGCCCAGCACAGTGTTAGGCTCTGGGTATTCAAAAAGGAGCTCGCTTCTACCAGGGGGAAAACAGGGATACAATAACAACTGGAAGGATCAGGAAAGATGTCTTGTAAAAAGTGACATTTGAGCAGAGCCTGGAAAGGAGGCAGGGGCTCCAAGGCGTGGAAGTGAGAGCATTAGACTGTCACGGATGGGGAGCAGCAAGGAAGCCAGTCTGGCTGGACCAGGGTGGGAATACCTATTGTGTGTAAGAGGATGGTCTGTGTAATCATCCTGGGAAGCTAGATTGATGTCAGATTGTGAAGAACATTATGTGGCAGATGGAGGAGTTTGTGTTTTACTATAAAGACAATAGGGGGTCATTGGAGTTTATTGATCACAGGAGTGACATTGTCAGACCGATGCTGGAAACATCCATTAGGCAGCCGTATGAAGGATGGATTGGAGCGGATGAAAGAAGACCAAGGAAGAGTTTATTGCAACAAATCAGGAGAGAGGAAACAAAAACCTGAATGGGAGTGGTGGTGTGAGTGAAGAGGAGATAGATTCAAGATTGGGGCATTTTCTATTGTTGAGGCTCAGGGGCAGGGCCCTGGAAGTCAGAGATTGAGGAAGAGGGAAGGGCCCAGGATGATTCTAGGCTGGATCATTGGCCATCATGTTTACTGTTTGTTTTGTTGCTGTTTGAGAGAGAACCAGCCTTAAAGCAAGGAAGACCTGAGTTCAAATCCTTCCTCTGACTCACACCACCTGGTGGGGCTGCTTGCCCAGTTTACCTTTTCAGTCTCTAGGTAGCTGTCTCAGAGTGTAAGTTGCAGAGAAAGGCTTGACCTGCATTGGGAGTTCCCTCACCTGAGAGTTTCTTTTACCAGTGAAATCACAGGTCTGTCCCTATCCCTCTTCCTAGCCTTAATTTGACTAAAATTTCTAGGCTGAGGGACTGAGGTGAAAGGTGATTTCATACATGGACAGAAATGGAGAAGTAAGAAGGAGGATCAATTTTGGGGGGAAGGGAGAACATTTAATTTAGTTTTAGATACATTAAGTTCAAAGTAACATTCAAGTGAAAATATCTACCTGTCATTTGGAGGTCTGAAACCTAGAATGCACTCCCTCTTCACCTGCTTCTTAGAATCCTTCAAAATTTATCTCAGAAGCCACTTTCTTCATAAGGTCTTTCCTTGTTCTCCACTCACTCCCACCCTCTCCAGGGGTGGGGGAGCCTTTGGCCTGGAGGCCACATGTGGCCCTCTAGGTCCTCAAGTGAGGCCCTTGAAGTTTGGATTCTGTCAAAAGGCCGAACTTGGGGACCTAGAAAGCCACATGTGGCCTTGAGGCCGCATGTTCCCCACCCCTATTAGTGCCTTCCCCTGAATTAACTTACATGTATACATGTTGTCTTCTCCCTGTATGTAGAGTACTGGGGGTGCAGGGGTGGAGGAAAAGCAGACAGAGACAGCTTTTTTAAATTGTTAGAAAAAATCTATATCCCCATCACCTTGCACTTTAATGCTTGTTGATTGATTAAATATTGAGAGATTTCAGGGCCAGAGATGGAATCAGGGTCATTGATATAGACCAAGGATTCTTAAGCCTTTTTGGACACAACCTGGTGAAATCTATGGACCCCTTTTCAGAATAATATAAATAAAATATATTGGATTACAAAGGAAACCGGTTATATTGGAATATAGTTATCAACATTAAAAAGAAGAACAAATTCGTAGACCCGAAGTTAAATACCTCTAAATATCATCAAGGCAAAAATTGAGATCATAAGAGTAGGGTGACTGGATTGCTTCAAGGGAGAGAGAAGAGAAGGTTTGGAACAGAACCTTGGAAAAAAACCTGTAGTTAGGGAGCTAGAGGAGGAGAGGAACCAGTAAAGGAGTGTCCTGTCCATGCAAGATGTGACTCGAGAAAACAAGGTGAGGGCCAAGAGATGTAACTGTGAGGAGGTGCCTTATGACCCGGGAAGAGTTCCATTTCAAATATGTTTCTTTAAGAGATCAGAGAGAAAACCCTAGGAGAAGCATGGGGTTCAGGAGGACGGGTTTGGGCCAAAAGCTTCCTTTCCTCTCCAGGTGAGGGGCGATGCTGCCGGGGGGGGGGGGGGGGGGGGGGGGGGGGGGGGGGATGCCAGAGAGCGGGAAGGAGACCAAGACAGGTGCTGTGCCCATCTCTCCTCTCTGTTCCTTCCTCAGCTCTCTGTCTGACACAGTGATTATGGACTCTATTGCTGCTTTCCTCGTCCTGCCTAACCGTCTATTGGTGCCTCTTGTGCCAGACTTGCAGGATGTGGCCCAACTCCGTTCTCCACTGCCTCGGGTATGTTCCTTCCCTTCCCTACCCACACCCCCTGCCCCGGGGGGATCCTGTCTCCAGAAGGCTCTCCTGTGAGCCCTGAGACACTTCATCTTAGACCCTCCTCTCCCTTGCAGGGTATTGTACGGATTCACCTGCTTGCTGCCCGGGCACTGAGCTCCAAGGATACCTATGTGCCAGGTTTGATAAAAGGCAAATCAGACCCATACGCCATAGTGCGTGTGGGGACCCAGGTGTTCTGCAGCCGTGTCATTAACGAAGACCTAAACCCTCAGTGGGGAGAGACCTATGAGGTAGGAAGGCTGGGGAAGTGGGTCCGGGGTTAGAGGGATGAGGAGAACCTGGAAAATTGGCGTGGTGGTCGTAGAAGAAAAGCTCGGGAGGAAAGCTTAGTTAGGGGGTAGTTTGAGAAGGTCCCTGGCCACTCAGAAAACACCTGCTGAAGACAATGCTCCCCTCTTCCCCTCCTCAGGTGATGGTACATGAAGTCCCAGGACAGGAGATAGAAGTAGAAGTATTTGACAAGGATCCCGACAAAGATGACTTTCTGGGCAGGTGAGACCATGGCGGAGTCCCCAGTGGACTCTTGAAACGGATGTCCTGGGCTCAGTGGCATTCATTGCTTCCCTTCCTGCCTCGTTCCCATGCCAAACCTATCACATCTTCCCAGGGGCAAAGGAAAGGGACTTGGGGGGTGGGGTTTGCTAACTTTCCCAAATAATAATGGCATTTCCCCCCTCCTCCCCTCCCTCCTTCAGACTGAAGCTGGACTTGGGGAAGGTGTTAGAGGCTCAAGTGTTGGATAACGTGAGTGAGGAGGGCTATGTGGGAAGCATTGGGGTTGTGGGTCTCATCCAATGAGCTTTGGAAGATAAAAACAAATGGTTGGTTAATTTAAGGAGGTGAATGTCTGGGCATCTGACCCCATCCCCTCCTCAGCATCTCCTACGTCTCCTCTGACCCCTAGTGGTTCCCCTTACAAGGAGGACAGGGCCAAGTCCACCTACGGCTGGAGTGGCTGTCATTGTTACCAGATGCTAACAAGCTAGAACAGGTAATGGCTGGAAGTAGGGGATGGGTGCCTGAAAGGGAAGGAGCTTGTAGCTAAGAGATTTGAATTCTACTGTTGCAATTTTTCCTCCTAGGTACTGCAATGGAATAGAGGTGTTTCTTCCCGACCAGAACCCCCCTCAGCTGCCATCTTGGTTGTCTACTTGGACAGAGCCCAGGATCTGCCTGTGAGTTTGGTGATTGATTGGGGTAGGCAGGAGACCTGGAGCTATAACAGATGTTGTGTGTGGCAGGAGAGAGATGGGGTAAAGATTCTAGCACTGACTTTTTCCTGTTCCCAATAGTTCAGCCAAGGGAAAGACTGCTGGTTATATAGAGTCTTTTGCTCTGTCCCTAGCTAGTTCTAACCTGCTTGTGCTAGAAGCTGTTCTTTCAGCATAGAAAGGGAGGGGAGCTAGGACATACATCACTGAGATTTCCTGTACCCCACCCCCAGACTAACTCCCTTACCCCCTCCTCCCTCCTGATTGAAAAAAAAAAAAAAGGAAAGGCAGCTCTCTGGTCTTTGCTTTTCCTCCTCCCCAGCTGAAGAAAGGGAACAAGGAACCCAACCCAATGGTGCAGCTGTCCGTGCAAGATGTGACTCGAGAAAGCAAGGTGAGGACCAAGAGGAGGTGCCTTATGACCCAGGAAGAGTTCCATTTCAAACATGTTTCTTTAAAAAAAAAAAGGATTTTATTAATTTTTTTTTCTAAAAAGGGGAAGTAGACTCCATCCTATTTAATCACCTTTATAACCAGTAACCTCTGCTGCAGTCAAGCCAGTCTCTTTGAAGAATTATTTTTAAAAAGAGGGAAAGAAATATTCAGCAAAACTGATCATTTATAAAAATCTGTCATTCTATGCAATTTTCCATACCTGTGGACGGCCCCATCCCCACCCCAATCTCTGAAAGGTGTGTGTAGGGGTGTGGGTGGGGGCAGGGCAGCAGCATCTTCTCCAAGTTCCTCTTTGGGGCCAAGCTTGCTCTTTGCCATTTCAAATCCTCTTCTAAACTGCTTCCTGGTGGCAGGTACAGGGACCTTTGGGTGAAGACTAATGTAAACACTCCCTCCTACCCCTCCCCTCCCAGGCTACCTATAACACCAACTCCCCAGTGTGGGAAGAAGCCTTCCGATTCTTCCTGCAGGACCCGAGAAGCCAGGAGCTGGACGTGCAGGTGAGACTGCAGCCCTCCCTCCTGGAAGGAGAGTTACCAAGGGCTTGCTCTGGGCACTATGGGAAATTCAAAGGAAAGTGAGGCCCTGGCCTTCGGGTAGCCGGAAAATGAGAAAGATGAGCCATGTCCACAAATAACTCTGCTGAAAAATAGCGAGTGTACTGGAGAGATACAGACAAGATACTATGAAAGGTCATACCACTCACACCCTTAGTCTCCATATTATTTTTTATTCATAGCAGGGTCTTTCTTGGGCTTGCTTAATGGCTTTTTCTTCATTTAAATTTCCTTGTGTGGATTTCTAGCAGTTTTCTTGTTAGCATTTCTCTCTCTCTCTCTCTTTTTTGAGGATTGTGAAGAAACTCTCCCTTAAATAAATTGGGTATTTGAGTGCCCATAGCACTTCTCAGCAACAAATTAGATGCCTTGGGGAAATACAAGGAAAATTGGAGACCACAAGCTTTAACCTCAGGAAGCTTAGCTTTAGGCAGATAAAACAATTTAAGGACAATGAAGTGGTAAACTGTAGGGCTTAGACTTTATTTTTTTTTTGTTTTTTTGTTTTTGTTTTTTTTGGGGGGGGGTTAGGCAATTGGGGTTAAGTGACTTGCCCAGGGTTACACAGCTAGTAAGTGTCAAGTGTTTGGTCTGAGGCCAGATTTGAACTCAGGTCCTCCTGACTTCAGGGCGAGTGCTCTATCCACTGCACCACCTAGCTGCCCCAGGGCTTAGACTTTAAAGAGCTACAGGAGGTCAAAGGAGGAAGGGGAAGGGTGATGTGTGGTCCCCTCAGGCTTCCTGCAGGAGAGGGTGCTGGAACTGGGCTCTGAAAGCAGGATAGGATTTGGAGAGGCAGAGAAGGAGGAGATGCCATGGAGATGGCAATGAGTTAGGTGGTGTGGTCAACCTCAAATAGAAAGGGATCTCAGCCTGCTGCTGCCTGTTGACTTAGAAAACCACAAATTATCGTTATCTAGGTTGTATGGTATTTTTATTTGTTAAATATTTCCCAATTATACATTAGATTTTCTATTATTATATAAAATATATAATATTTTGATATGGTGTTATATTTTGATCTGGTTAGGGATGCACTTGGAAGTCCAGAAAGCCAGACCACTCAGAGAATGATAGAGAGAAATAAGGGTGATTAAGTAGAGTGGGACCAGAGTATGATCTCACTTCATCTCTTCCTAATTTTTTTCTTATTCTGGGGCTCCTCCCTTGGTATTTCCCCACAGGTGAAGGATGACTCCAGGGCCTTGACTCTAGGAGCACTGACCCTGCCCCTGGCCCGTCTGCTCGCTGCTCCTGACCTCACCTTAGATCAGTGGTTCCAGCTTGCTAGTTCTGGCCCGACCTCCCGACTCTACATGAAACTGGTTCTGAGGGTACGGAGGCGTGGGAGGGTTGGACCTGGGGGTGGGGGGAGTGGTTTGCTGCTTAATGAATGCTTGTCTGATGGGTGGGAGTGGGACTCTGAGACCACCACCCCCTGCTGGCTGAGTTGACGTTGTAACATCATCATCCTTTGCAGATTCTGTACTTGGACACATCGGACCTGTACTTCCCCACCACGCCAAGCTCTTCTGGTCTCCTGGATATGGCCAGTGAGAGCATCCAGATGGGCAGCAGTGTTGACATCCCACCCCGACCAAGCCATTGTACTCCAGATGGCCACTTTGGCACTGAGGTGAGTGAGAATCCTGATCAGGGACCAGGTGGTGATGCTGGGTCATGAATGAATCATAGATTTCAAGTCAGGAGATATCTTAGTGGAATCCCATCATGGACTCTAACCCTTGCATTTTACAGATGAGACTTGCCTATTAGGTTAAGTGACTTAATTATTAATTCTTTTTTGGGGGGGGGAGACAATTAGGGAATGACTTGCCCAAGGTCACACAGCTAAGATTGGAATTCAGATCCTCCCAACTCCAGGGTGTGTGCTCTATCCACTGGACCACCTGCCTAGGCTATTAAGTCTTTTTTTTTTTTTTTTTGGCTAGGAAATGGGTTTTTGCCCAGGATCACACAGCTAGTAAGTGTCAAGTGTCTGATACCAGATTTAAACTTAGGTCCTCCTGACTCCAGAGTTGGTACTCTATCCACTGCACCACCTAGCTGCCCCCTATTAAGTCTTCAAGGTGGGATTTGAACCCAGGACCTCCTGATTCTGATGTACTAGATTCCATTTGTGTAGCTGTCCTGACATTTGTTCATGGGCTCATTTGCCCTTCCTAAACGGCCCAGAGCTTTTGCAGGACTAGCTGTGGGGTACATCTGTTTCTTTCCCTGCAGAGCGTGCTCCGAATCCACGTATTGGAAGCCCGGGATTTGATTGCCAAAGACAGATTCCTGGGAGGGCTGGTGAAAGGCAAGTCAGATCCCTACGTCAAGCTGCGAGTGGCTGGGAAAAGCTTCCGGAGCCGGGTGGTCCGTGAGGAGCTCAACCCACGCTGGAATGAGGTCTTCGAGGTCAGGATTCCAGATGCTCAAATCCCAGACCCGCCCGCTTCTCGTTCCCACCCTCCAACTCCAAGGAAATATTCAGAATCAAGGGGTGAGGGCGTTTTCACTCAGTCCTTTGGGTTCTCTCCCCATAGGTGATTGTCACGGCGATTCCCGGGCAGGAGTTGGAGATGGATGTCTTTGACAAGGACCTAGACAAGGATGACTTCTTGGGCAGGTGAAGGGATGGCTGGAGAGCCGGGGTGGGGGGGTGCCCGGTGGTCAAGTTAGCCCTGCCTCTGAGGTTAAAAAAGACCTGGAGCTCTGCTCTACCTGTCTCTTCCTCCTGTCTCTCTCCAGATGTAAAGTCAGTCTCACCAGGGTCCTCAGCAGTGGTTTCATCGACGAGGTGAGCTCTGTCAATCAGTAAATATTTATTAAGCTCCTACTACGTGCCAGGCACTATGCTAAGTGCTGGGATTGCAAAAAGAGGCAGAAGACAGTCCCAATCCTCCAGGAACTCGCACTGTAATGGGGAGATAACATGCAAACAGGTATATGCGAAGCAAGACAGACGCAGGGTAAATAGGAAGTAATTAACAGAGGGGAGGCACTGGGATGAAGAGGTATTAGGGAAGGCTTCCTATAGAAGGTGGCTTTTTGGTCAGGACTTAAAGGAGGCCAGAGAAATTAGTAGGTGGAGCCTGGAGGGGAGAGTGTTTCAGGCATGGGGGACAGCCAGAGAGAATGCCCCAAGGAGTGTCTCGTTCCTGGAAAAGCCAGGAGGCCAAGTGTCACTGGAATGAAGAGTACATCTTGGGGAGTGAAGCAAAGCAGCTACTGGGCTCAGTGGATAGAGGACGGGCCCTGGAGTCAGGAGGACCTGAGTTCAAATCTAGCTTCAGACATTTACTAGCTGTATGACCCTGGGCAAGTCATTTAACCCCAATTGCACCCCCCCCAAAAAAAAGAAGCTGAAGAAGAGAACTGGAAAGGTAGGAAGGGGCCAAGTTACGGAGGGCTTTGAATGCCAGAGAGTTTTGTATTTGAGCCTAGGGGTAATAGGGAGCCGCCGGAGTTTATTGAGTAAGGGAGTGACATGATCCCACCTGAGCTTTAGGAAAATAATTTTAGTGGCTAAATGGAGATTAGAGACTTGAAGCAGGCCATTGCAGCAGTCCAGGTGGGAGGTGATGAGGGCCTACACTAGAAGGGTGGCAGTGTCAGAGGAGGGAAGGGGGGGTGCATTTGAGAGATGCCGCAAAGGTGAAATCGACAGGTTTTGGCAGCAGTTTGGTTATGGGCAGGGCTGAGAGATAGTCAGGAATCCAGGATGGCTCCTAGGTTGTGAGCCTGAGGGATGGGAGGTTGGTGTTGTTGCCCTCTACTGTAATAAGGAAGGAGGAGGCGGGGAGGGTTTAGGGGGAAAGATCATAAGTTCCATTTTGGACATAGTGAATTTAAGATATCTACTGGACAGCCAATTCAGAATGTCTGAAAAGCAGTTGGAGATGTGAGACTGGAGGTCAACAGAGAGATGGTAGACTGGAGAATCATCAGCATACGGATGCTAATTGAATTCGTGGGAGCTGATGAGATCACCAAGTGAATAACATTGAGGGAGAAGAGAAGAGGGCCCAGGACCTAACCCTGTGGACCACCTCTGATAAGAGGGCATGACCTGGATGAGGATCTAGCAAAGGAGATGTGGAAGGAGTGGTCAGATAGGTAGGAGGAGAACCAGGGGAAAAGGGTGTCCCAAAAACCTAGAAAGAAGAGAGTATGAAGGAGGAGAAAAGGCAATTGGATTTGGCAACCGGGAGATTAGTGACTTTGGACATAAGAATTTCAGGAGAATAAGGTCAGAAGCTGGATTGAAATGGGTCAAGAAGAGAATGAGAGGAGAGAAAATGGAGGCCCCCATTGCAGATGTGGGGATGGCCTTTTCAGGAGTTTAGCTACAAAGGGCAAAAGAGATATAGGAGGAGAAGTAGTGGGCATGGGAAGATCCAAGGAGTATTTCTGATTCCTGTTAGTGCAAACTATAGCTCTCCCAGAGCCCTAACTCCTGCCTCATTTCCCAGTGGCTGCCCCTGGAGGACGTGCCATCAGGCCGCCTGCACCTGCGCCTGGAACGGCTGACCCCCCGGCCCACTGCCACAGAGCTGGAGGAGGTAAACAAAGAGCCGGGACAGGGGGAGGGCCTCACCCAAGGAAGATTGCCCGGGTTCCATTCTTCAGGACCAAGGCTTTCTCAACCGCTTTCCCCTCCCAGGTGCTGCAGGTGAATAGTCTCATCCAAACACAGAAGAGCGCAGAGCTGGCAGCTGCCCTCCTCTCCGTGTACCTAGAGCGGGCTGAAGACCTTCCGGTGAGAGATGCCCCTCCCTCCCTTCCTGGCCCCAGCCTTCCACACTCCTCAGCTCCGAAGCCACAAGGTGTTGGTGGAGTGCTGGGCCTGTGAGCCACGGTGGCTTCCTCTGAGGTGGGACAGGGCTGGGGAGGTCTGTCCTTCTGACTTAATGCCCTGTTTCCCTCCCAGCTCCGTAAGGGCACCAAGCCCCCTAGCCCATATGCCAGCCTCACTGTAGGGGACGCCTCTTACAAGACCAAGGTAATGGGCTGCGGTGAAGGGGTGAAGGGCACATGAGTCTTTCTCCCTACTGATGAAGATCCCATTGTCTCCTCCAGACTTGCCCTCAAACTCCAGCCCCGATATGGGATGAGAGTTTCTCCTTCCTCATCAGAAAGCCAAACATTGAGAGCTTGGAACTTCAGGTACTATTCCCTCTTCTTAGTTCTCTGACTCCCTCTCTTTGCTCCCAAAAGGGAGGGAGTTGCCGGGGGATTGGGGAAGAAGCCATCACCACCTCTAGTTTCTACCAACTCTTTCAATCCAGAAAGTCAGAGGTGACTCACCCATCACACCTTCCTGTGTCTAGCGTCCAACTCCATGACCTTTACTCCCTGGCTCTCTAGGTACGGGGAGAAGGGACCGGGACCCTGGGCTCAGTCTCCTTGCAGCTCTCCGAGCTCCTCGTTGCTGACCAGTTGTGCCTGGATCAGTGGTTTCCACTCAGCAATGGGCAGGGGCAGGTGCTACTCAGAGCACAGCTTGGGGTAAGTACCTGGTTTTTTTGGTTTTGTTTTTTGTTTTTTTGGAGGGCAGGGAATAAGAAAGGGAGCCAGGAAGTAGGAAAGATGAACTGGAAAATACAGCGAGATCAGGGTAGCCCAGCTGGGAAGGAATGGCTTGGCTGTCCAGCCTAGCTAACAACTTTCTGCTCCCCACCCCAGATTCTTGTGTCCCAGCACTCAGGGGTGGAAGCTCATAGTCACAGTCCTTCTCCCCTGAGTGAGGAGACAGAGCCATGGGGGATGCCGCCTCTCGTCACCTCCTCAGCCCCTGAACTCCGACAACGCCTGCCACACAGTGAGAGGTACGGGGTTGAAACCCCAGATGGGGGTGTGTGTTTAGGGGAGTGGTATGAAGGTGGGGTCCTGGCCCCTTTCTTTCCTCCCATGGATCTCGTTCTCTCTCCATATCTCAACACAGCCCATCTGAAGCCCCAGCTGGGCCTCTAGGCCAAGTGAAGCTGACTGTTTGGTATTACAGCGAGGAGCGCAAGCTGGTCAGCATTGTCCACAGCTGTCGGTGAGCCCCCAGTCCTCCCACCCCCCACTTTCATGCTCTGGGCTTCCCTGCCACCTCTCCTCAAGTCTCTTCCTTTTACCCTCTTTCATGTAGGGGCTTGCGGCAAAGTAGCCGGGATCTCCCTGACCCCTATGTGTCGCTGCTATTGCTACCGGACAAGAACCGGGGCTCCAAGAGAAAGACCTCCCAAAAGAAGAGAACTCTGAACCCTGAATTCAGCGAGAGGTTAGAAGGCATTGTGCTGGGATGCTGGCAGATGCGGGATGAAGGAGGGACCCTGCTGTCTCTACTGATTCCTTCCCCCACTTTTGTCCCTGCTCAGGTTTGAGTGGGAATTGCCCCTGGATGAAGCCCTCCGACGGAAGCTGGATGTCTCTGTGAAGTCCAATACCTCCTTTATGTCAAGGGATCGTGAACTGCTGGGGAAGGTGAGACAGCTGGGGTGGGCTAGGCAGGGGGAGGAGCATATAGGGAATGCCTTAGAGGTCCCAGGGTCCCTGGGTCCCCTGTCACCAAAAGAGGGGAGAGTGGTAAAGGATCCTGTCCCCCAACAGGTGCAGCTTGACCTATCAGAGATGGATCTGTCCCAGGGTGCTGCTCAGTGGTAAGTCTGGGTGTGAGTGGCTTCATGTGGTATTAGCCAGCAACCTAGTTTACCTCCAGATATGTGGTGGCTTATGAACCCAGGTAGAGAGACAGACTATGACTTCTCCTTGGATGGGAAATCTTGGTTGGATGAAGTTTAGAGAACCTTATAGTTGAGCTGGAAAATATGTCTGTAAGGATACAACATCCCACTACAGGGAAGTGGGAAAAGTGGTGAAGTCAGAAGATGGGGTTCACGTCTCCAACTCTCGCACCTTTGCTAGTTCTATGACCCTAAGAAAATCACTCTCTCAGAGCCCTTTTCCTTATTTGTAAAAGGGGGACCCTTCTAACACTCGGGTTCTGTGATTCTCAGACACTATTTACACTATCTACTTCATGGCCTCATTTTTCTTTAAAGCATGAATGATATAATTACAAATAAAGAAAAAAATAGGTAGGGATAGCTAGGTGGCACAGTGGATAGTGCACTGACTCTGGAGTTAGGAGGACCTGAGTTAAAATCTAGACTCAAACACTTACTAGTTGTGTGACCTTGGGCAAGTCACTTAACCCCCAATTGCCTCAAAAAAACAATAGGACTGATATCAAAGCTCAGAAAATAAAAATCCACCATCTAGTCTGTCACCTGTAGCACCATTCAGAGAAGGGATTTATGCTCCCCCTCAGAGAGAGTGGAAGCTGCTTATGAGATTGCGTATCCCTAACACCCAGCATACAGTAGGAGATTAATAAAGTAAACCCAAAGTGCTGTACCAATGTGGATAGTTGCTGCCATTATCCTTGGGAACACAGAAACTCATCCCTTTCCTTGCTCTTTCAGGTATGACCTCGGGGAGGACAAGGATAGGAACAGCTCCTAGGAGCCAGGAGCTCCCCAAGCCAAGACTGTACCCCTGATCCTTGCCTGACTCACTGCATCACCACCTCAATGTGAAGAGCCTAAAGCTGGGGGCTGAGGCTGAGCCCCCAAGACCCTTCCCCATTTTCCCCCATTAGGCCCAGGCTGAGGGCCATTGCCTGACCAAAGAGAAGGACCACACTTTTCTCCCCGACACCTCCCCCTCTGCACGGCCTGCCCTCCTTTTGGGCTCTTGGGGCAGGTGCTTGAGCTGGCTGCTCCCTGCCCCACCCCCCCACCCAACCCCACCCCTGCCCTGCCATGCACTGTTGTCCCTCTCCACGTCCACCTCCTTCCCTCCCCAGGGACCTCTGTACCTGTGCCTGGCCATTGGCAACACAAGCCAAGGCATTAGCTTATGCCAAATTCTGCTTTTTTTAAAAAGACCTCTGTTTTTATTTAGCCGGCTTGTCGCTCCCTTCCCTGCACTTGGTGGGGAGGGGGTGGGGAGGCAGCAGGCCTGCGAGTCCTGATCGGCTCCCCCCTAGGACTGTTGCATGTGGGGGCCTGACACCGCCTGGCCCTCTTTGTCCTCCCACCGTCCGGCCTTTTGGGGTGCTGGGGCCAATCCCTTTGTGACGGCTGAGGAATCGGGGACGCTTGGAGTCTGCCCAAGTCCCTGAGCGTCAATCTTGAGGCCTCTAGCAGGTGAGGTACCCACTGAGGGCCTCGCTGGTCTTGCCGTCCACACTCTGGTGTTTTGTTTTTGTTAAAGTGCCTGAGCTATTGACTCAACGACCAGATCGGCTTCTGGTCCTTTTTTTGTTTGCATCAACTCTGCTTGTCTACTGTATCTTATATTAAATACCAATAATATCATACATGGCATGGGCCTTTTTCTTAAGGGCAAGGGTGGGGATAGTGAGGCCTGTTTCCTCAGTGATGTACGGGGAGGGAAATGGAATTAGAAAGCCCAAGCCAGCACAGCAAAAGCAATTTCTGAATTTAAATGAATAACATACATCTCTTCTCCCCATTCCTAGTATCAAAACTCCTTTTTTTTTTTTAGTGTATGGTAAGTTCTGGATCAAACCAGTTTCAAAGCACCTAGTCTAAGCGGGACCCGATTGGAAGGATCTTAGATTTAAAGCTTGCAGGAACCTAAATTGGACCTAGTCTGGTCCAACCCTCTCATTTCACAGATGATAAAACTAAGTCTCTGGGAAATTAGTGACTTGTCCAAGGTCATATAGAGTCAGGGTTCCAGCCCAGGTCTTCTAACTCCCAATCCACATGACCCTCTAATGCTGCAGACCCTCTATAGCACTGGATGCAGACACCTGGGTGAACCAGCAGCTGCTACAGCTGATAACCCTCCACAACTTATTATTCCCTTGTCTTGAATGTGTCCAGGGCAGGGATTCCAAGTTAAGCCTGCCTCCCTGTTAACCAGCGCATCTCGGCCATGTTCATTTTTTTTCTTTTAGGCAATTGGGGTTAAGTGACTTGCCCAGGGTCACATAGCTAGTAAGTGTCAAGTGTTTGGTCTGAGGCCGGATTTGAACTCAGGTACTCCTGACTTCAGGGCTGGTGCTCTATCCACTGCACCACCTAGCTGCCCCATGGCCATGTTCAGAAAGGCAACTTGATTAAGCCATTCTCTGAAACTTGGCCCAAACTTGCCTCTCCTGGGGATTTCTTTCTAAAATTCATGGTTAGAACAGCTCTTTTGTATGTGAGCTCAGAGGAGGAAGAGATATGATCAAAACATCAGGAAAAACATGCTGGGCCTCTGGCCTGGAGACCCTTTGAAGCCGACTTCAGAGAAGACATTATGGGTTCTGTCCAAATGGGCTTTGGTACCAAGTGTCAGAAGCCCGAGAGTGTGCTCCAGGCACCATTGGCCTGACTCATAATGTCATTGTTTACATTCTTAGCAACGGACTAGCGTTCTTTCCTGGAGGGATGAATTCTGGGAGAGCAGAGCTTCCCTGGCTGGGGGAAATGTAACAACTACCACCAGGCTTGTTTCAAGCGGCTGTGAGAACAGGGGCTGTGGTCCAGGGAGAAGCAGCACTGGCTTTGCAGTCCAAGGATGCGGGTTCAAGTCTCACTTCTGTTGCTTACTGTGAACCTGGGCAAGTTGATGGGCCTCAGTTTCCCTCTCTCTAAGGCAAAGTGATTAGACTAGTGGCCTCCATGTTCCAACCTCTAGATCTGTGACTCTCTCCTATGAGAACATAAGCCTTGTTCAACAGAAAGACCTCCCAATACTGTTTAGCTTGAAAAGTGTTCACTGTTTTGTTTCCTCTTTCTGGTGGTTCTAATTCTTACTTACAACATCATTAGTGTGAAAATGTTTAATGGGAATGTATATGTATAGCCTATATCAGATTGCGCGTTATCTTCGGGAGGGAGGGAGAGAAAAATTTAAAACTCAAAAGCTTATGGAAGTGATTGTTGATAAATCAAAATTAATTAATTAATTTTAAAAAAGCATTCACTGTTCCAACCCCGCCCAATGCCCATCCTACCGCATTGATTTCCTTCTTCATAATGCAGAGACTCAACATACTTAACCATAGTACCAGAAAAATATACACACACATATGTGTATGTGTACATACACATTTGTATAGCTACTATACACGTGTGTACATGCGTGCATGTAGTATATTTATTTTACATATGAATGCCAAATTTATATTACCTATATGTGTATGTATCATATAGTATACTATGCTATATATACTATGTATATATTATGTATGTAAAGTATATATACCATATACACTGTTGTTGTTATTTGTCCTTCATTCCCAAAGAGGACCAATGACATCAACAGGGTGATGTCTTGACTTGCAAATAAATCGGATTTAAGTGAGGCAGAGCTGCGCAGTCATCAGCCTCACTCTCTCCTCCAGAGTCATTGGAATCCAGTGGCAAGACATAGGTCAGGACGACTGGTGATGGCCCCACCATATGTGTGTGTGTGTGTGTGTGTATGTATGTGTGCGTGAGTGTGTGTATATATGTGTGTGTATGTATGTATATATCTGTGTGTGAGTGTGTGTATGTATATATATGTGAGTGTATGTGTGTGTATACACACAACCTGTATATACTATATATACCATATAATATATATACATAATATATACCATGTATATACACACATACCATATATTTAGATATACATATATACTGTCTCTCTCTATGTATCTTATACACCAAAATAGCAGTCAGAGGCACTTATCAGATAATAATAATGACATTAAATAATTTATAATGCTTCTCCAAAAGACTCACGATGGAAAATGCTATCCACAACCAGAGAAAGAATTTAGGAGTCTGAATGCAGATGGAAGCATATTATTTGCTTCCTTTTCTTTTGTTGTTTTGTTTCTTCTTTCTCATGATTCCTCCCATTAATTCTAATTCTTCTTTACAACATGATTAACATGAAAATATGCTTAATATGAATGTAAAAAGGAGAGCCTATATCAGATTGCACACTGTATTGGGGAGGGGGACGGTGAAGGAGGGGGAGAAAATTTAAAACTCAAAATCTTATGGAAGTGAATGTTGAAAACTAAAAAGAAATTAATTATTTAAAAAAATAATTTATAACAAAACTTTGTTTTTGTAAAACAAAAATGTTTTATATATATTATCTCATTTGAGATTCACAACAACCCTGTGAGAGAGATGCTATTAACATCCTCATTTTACAGATGAGAAAATAGAAATAGAGGTTAAGTGACTTGCCCAAGATTACACAGCTAGTCTGAGGTCAGATTTTTTTTTTTTTACATTTTACATTTAATTGTTTTTTACATTAAATTTTTTTTTTCTCCTCACATATAAACAAAACATTTTTAACATTTGTTTTTCTGCAGCCAGATATTGACCCCAGGTCTTTTTAACTTCAGTCCCAATGTTCTACCCAGTTCACCACCTAGCTCTCGTGTTTGATTTTTTTTTTAATCACTGGGCATTGCACCCAAGGCTTACTTGTTAAAAATTATTTTATTTTATTATTTTGTTGATGCCTTTTGCTTTTATATGTTACATCCATTCCTGACCATACCCTTCTCCCATCCGCTACTCAGTGCACCCTTGTGACATGTATGAAATAAAGAGGAAAAAAACAATTCAAAACTAGTCAACATATTGACCAGTATCCACACCCATACTCCCCCACTTCTGCAGTGAAGGGAGGGAGATGTATTTTTCTTACTCTTCTCTGGGGCTCAGGCCTGGTCTGGAGAGGTGAACTAACTCAGTCATTTTAAGTTTATAGCATTCAGATGCAGTTTTGTTGTTAACAAATAACAAAACGGTTATTTCCATTTTCATCTTTGTGGTGCTTCAGTTTGTTTTCCTGATTTTGCTGATTTCCTTCTGCATCTGTTCTCATAGGCCTTCCCATATTTCTCCATAATCATAATTTTCATTGTTTCTCACAGCACTATAATATCTATATATCACAATTTGTCTAATCCTTTCCCAGTCAATGGGCGTCTGCTTTATTGCTTTGCTATCACAAAAAGTGTGGCTATGACTATTTGGCTGTATGTGAGAGCAGTCTTCCAGTCCTTGACATCTCTGTGGATATAGAAGGCTGATTTTTCTGGCTGGCTTCAGATTAGCCAAGAATCTTGGCATCTTTGAGGTCAGAACCTTTGTTCATCACTTCAGCCAAAAAACCCTCTAGAAGTCAACTAACTTGGCACAAAATCTCCCCTCTCTGCATATTCCTCTACTTCAACATTTCCCAACCTTTTCCAGGCACATACCTGTGAACCTGCCAGGATTGACCAAGGGAAAATTATTCACTCTCCCTGCGCCCCACCCTGAATCCATTCATCCACCATCAGTGTAGCCAAAGGAACCCAAAAAGGAAGAAGGGAGGAAAGGAAGGAAGGAAAGAAGGAAGAGAGGAAGGGAGGGAGGAAGAAAGGGAGGGAGGGAGGAAGGATGGAAGGAAGGAAGAAAGGAAGGGAGGGAGAGAGGAAGAAAGGAAGGAAGGGAGGGAGGAAGGATGGAAGTAAGGAAGTAAGGAGGGGAGGGAGGGAGGGAGGAAGGAAGACAGGGAGGGAGGGAAGAAGGAAGGGAGGCAGGGAGGGAGAAAGGAAGGAAGGGAGGGAGGGAGGGAGGGGGAGGGAAGACAGAAGAAAATAACCATTTATTAAGCACCTACAATGTGCCAAGCATTGTGCTAAGCACGTGACAAATAAATATTATCTCATTTAATTCTTACAACAACCCTAGGAGGTAGCTGCTGTTATTATCCCCATTTTACAATTGAGGAAACTGAGGCAGAGATCAAGTGACCTGTTCAGGGTCACACAGCTAGTAAGTGTCTGAGGCTGGATTTGAACTCTCATATTTCTTCTTTTTTTTTTCAATGTAAATAGTATTTTATTTTTTCCAATTACATGTAAAGACAATTTGCAACATTCATTTTTTACAGGATTTTGAGTTCCAAATTTTTCTCTCTCCCTCCCTCCTCCCCAAGACAGCAAGTAATTTGATACAGGTTATACATGTGCAAACATGTAAGATATATTTCCACATTAGTTATGTTGTGAAAGAAAAAATAGAACAAAAGGAAAAAAATCATAAATAAAAAACAACGAAAGTGAAAACAGTATGCTTCGATCTGCATTCAGACTCCACAGTTCTTTCTCGGGATGTGGATAGCATTTTCCATCTTCAATCTTTTGGAATTGTCTTGGATCATTGTATTGCTAAGAAGAGCTAAGTCTATCATAGTTGATCATTGCACAATGTTGCTATGACTGTGTACAATGTTCTCCTGGCTCTGTTCACTTCACTCAGCATTAGTTCATTTAAGTCTTTCCAGGTTTTTCTGAAC